TCCTACTGCTTTGGGAGGCCGAGGTGAGAGGTTCGCTTGAGGCCAGTAGTTTGAGACCAGCCAGGGTAACTTAGCAATATGCCCCATCTCTACAAAAAATAAAAAAAAATTAGCTGGGTGTGGTGTGCACCTGTAGTTCCAGCTACTTGGGAAGCTGAAGTGAACAATGATTGTGCCACTGCACTCCATCTTGGGGAACAGAGTGAGACCCTATCTCTAAAAAAAGAAAAAAGTGTTAAGGTCAAGAAAGACATCTCACAGAATGAAGGAGAGTAAAGAGATGATGATGAAATGTAATGTGGTATTATCTTGAATTGGATCCTAGAATATAAAAAGGATATTAATGGAAAAATTGGAATAAAGCCTATAGTGTTAATTTCTTAATTTTGGTAATTATATTTTTGATATTATATAAGATGTTAATGTTAAGGGATGCTGGATGAAGGTTATCATGTCATTCTTCTGTAAAACCCTCCCCCACACACATACACAAAAACTCTGTACTATCTCTGCATCTCATCTGTGTCTACTCTTACCTGATTCTTGTGCCTATAAGAAATTTTCAGGCCAGGAGTGGTGGCTTGCACCTGTAATCCCAAGCACTTTGGGAGGCCAAGGTGGGTGGATCACCTGAGGTCAGGAGTTCAAGACCAGCCTGACCAACATGGAGAAACCCCATCTCTAAAAAAGAAAAGCAAAGAAATTTTCAGGATTAGCCAGAAGCAGTGGCTCATGCCCGTAATCTCAGCACTTTGGGAGGCTGAGGTGGGTGGATCGCTTGAGCTCAGGAGTCAGCCTGGCTAACATGTGAAACCTGTCTCTACTAAAAACACAAAAAATTAGCCAGGTGTGGTGATGGGTGCCTATAATCCCAGCTACTGGGGAGGCTGAGGCAGGAGAATCACCTGAACCTAGGAGGCGGGGGTTGCAGTGAGCCAAGACTGCGCCACTGTAGTCCAGCCTGGGCAACAGAGACTCCGCCGTCTCAAAAAATAAATAAATAAAAAGGCAGAATTTGATAAGGTCTCTGAAAATTTGATTAAAACCTCTAAGTAGTTTTTTATCTAATAATAACTTCCATAAGAGGTTTTTATTAATTGTTATCTACTGTCTAGAATAGGGGTCCCCAACCCCCTCCCAGCTATGGACCATTATGGGTCAATGGCCTGTTAGAACTGGGCCACACAGCAAGAATTAAGCAGCAGGAGAGGGAGCGTTACTGTTTGGGCTCTGCCTCCTGTCAGAGCAGCAGTAGCATTTGTGAACTGGGCATGCAAGGGATCTAAGTTGCATGTTCCTCATGAGAATTTATCTAATGCCTGATGTTCTGAGGTGGAACAATTTCATCCTAAAACGATCCCACCATGGAAAAATTGTGTTCCACAAAACTGGTCCCACTGCCAAAAAGGCTGGGAGCTGCTAGTCTAGAACACTGCCTGGAACGTTGCAGTAAATATCATTGCAGTGATATTTATTGTTCTATAAATATCTGTTAAAGAGTTAAATGTACTGGCTGGGCGCGGTGGCTCAACCCTATAATCCCAGAACTTTGGGAGGCCAAGGCGGGTGGATCACGAGGTCAAGAAATTGAGACCATCCTGGTCAATGTGGTGAAATCCCGTCTCTACTAAAAATACAAAAAATTAGCTGAGCATGGTGGTGCATGCCTGTAATCCCAGCTACTCAGGAGGCTGAGGCAGAATTGCCTGAACCCAGAAGGTGGAGGTTGCAGTGAGCCGAGATCGCACCATTGCACTCCAGCCTGGGTAACAAGAGCGAAACTCCGTCTCAAAAAAAAAAAAGAGTTAAATATACTGTCTCAGAATGACTTCTGAACATTTGCAATTTGCTAGAAAACTCTCACTTTGCCTAAGTTACCCTAGGGGGAAAAGGTTAGTTATGTCTTTTACCAATGAAGAAACTGTGTAGATGCCAGGCATAGTGGTTCACACCTATAATTCCAGTACTTTGAGAGGCTGAGATGGGAAGATCACTTAGCCCAGAAGTTTGAGATCAGCCTGGGCAACACAGTGAGACCCCTTCTCTACAAACATTTTTAAAAATTTAGCTGGACGTGGTAGCACATGCCTGTAGTCCCAGCAATTCAGAAGGCAGAAGTCGGAAGATCCCTTGAGCCTGCGTTGAGGCTACAGTGAGCTGTGATTGTACCACAGCTTGGGCAAAAGAATGAGACCTTATCTCAATTCAAAAAGAAAATTGTGCGCCGGGCGCGGTGGCTCACGCCTCTAATTCCAGCACTTTGGGAGGCCAAGGTGGGTGGAACACGAGGTCAAGAGATCGAGACCATACTGGTCAACGTGGTGAAACCCCGTCTCTACTAAAAATACAAAAAATTAGCTGGGCATGGTGGTGCGTGCCTGTAGTCCCAACTACTCAGGAGGCTGAGGGAGGAGAATTGCCTGAACCCAGGAGGTGGAGGTTGCAGTGAGCCGAGATCGCGCCACTGCATTCCAGGCTGGGTAACAAGAGCGAAACTCCGTCTCAAAAAAAAGAAAAGAAAATTGTGTAGAATAGTAAGTGCTTGTGTATATACATCAGCATCCTAACCTTAGTATTATTTAACAAATGTATACCCATCACAAAGATCTGTAACAAGAGATGGCTGAAACTGCCTTGTTAGTTGGGACCTCCTTCACTGGTAAACCAGCTTGAACAAATGTATCTAATACCATGTCTGCAGACATCTTAAGGGATATCCATCCTCAAGACTTTTCATTTTTACTTACATTTTCCAACAAACTGTAACATTTTAGATGACTGATATTATACATTTTAAAATAAATCCATTTATTGTTGACATCATTCTCATAGGCCACATCCAAGTCACTGGCAATTCCTGTTGCTCTATTTTCTTTTTTTTTTTCTTTTTGAGATGGAGTCTTGCTCTGCCACTCAGCTGGAGTGCAGTGGAGCAATCTCTTGGCTCACCGCAACCTCCACTACCCAGGTTCAAGCAATTTCCCTGCCTCAGCCTCCACGAGGCCTGAGCCGCCGCGCCAGGCCTGTTCTCAACTCCAAACTATTACAAACCATTACATGTATGACTCATTTTGCCTTGTATCCCTCACTAAAACACATCATCCAAGAAACTCTTCCTCAAAGTAGTTATACTCTAAAAGTCTTCTCTTGTTTCTACCTCCCTCAACCAAAACTCCCATTTTTCCAGTTAGGCAAACCTTGACTAAACAAAGGAAATGAATCCCTAAATTTTCCTAGTAGTGTTTTTAATTTTAATGTAAAGATTTTTTCTTTAATGACCCTGGAAGTCAAAGGCTTTTAATATATGTTCTTGGTCTGGTCCACCATAAGTAATCAATAAATTTGTTTAAAAAACTGGTAGAATTTCAGTTGGGCACAGTGGCTTATACCTGTAATCCCAGCACTTTGGAAGGCTGAGCCGGGCAGATCACCTGAGGTCAGGAGTTCAAGACCAGCCTGGCCAACATGGCAAAATCCCGTCTGTACTAAAAATACAAAAATTAGATGGACGGGGTGGCGCATGTTTGTAGTCTCTCAGGAGGCTCAGGGAGGAGAATCGCTTGAGCCCAGGAGGCGGAGGTTGCAGTAAGCCGAGATCATGCCACTGTACTCCAGCCTGGGCGACAGAGTGAGACGGAACCCAATTAATTGCTACATACTAATGCAGGCCTTGCTTTTCTTCTGCTCCATGTTTATCTTTCATTCTTGTTATCTACCCAACTCTCCAAATAGTGTTGGCCTTGTAATTTGTATGAAATAACATCTCCTGTATTGAGATTCAGACCTATCTAAAGATTCTACTGAAGGCAAGGTTGACTAAAATGAGTTATTTATTAGATAATACTTATGTTTCCAAATAACTGCTAGTAATTAAGAATATGCTAGAAACATTATATTCACTCAGTAATATTAAGAGCATACTACATGGCTGTCACTGTTCTGGGAGCTCAGGATACAACAGTAAATATAATAGGCCTTTTAAGAATTTACCTAAGTAATTATGTTAGATGGTAATAAGTGCTATGGAGAAAAATAATGCAGGGTATGTGTTGTAAGAAGGATGGGGGGGATATTTACAGAGAATAATAAAGGAAGGTCATTCTTTGATAAGGAAAAAAACTGAAGAAGATGAGGGCGAGCCATGCTTCTATCTGAACGAGGGGCACCCTAGAAAGAGCAAGCTAATGCAAGGGCCCCTTCAGGGAAGGGCATGCTGGTTGGTTAGCCTGAAGAGAGTGAATGTCATAGAGGAGTTGTAAATGAGGTCAGAATGAGAAATAGGAATGGTAGGAGAGATAGAAAATACCAGATCATATGGGTCCTTATGAGGGCCATCTTTTTTTTTTTTTTGAGACAGAGTTTCGCTCTTGTTACCCAGGCTGGAGTGCAATGGCGCGATCTCGGCTTACCGCAATCTCCGCCTCCTGGGTTCAGGCAATTCTCCTGCCTCAGCCTCCCGAACAGCTGGGATTACAGGCACGCGCCACTGTGCCCAGCTAATTTTTTGTAATTTTAGTAGAGACGGGGTTTCACCATGTTGACCAGGATGGTCTCGATCTGTTGACCTCGTGATCCACCCGCCTCGGCCTCCCAAAGTGCTGGGATTACAGGCTTGAGCCACCGTGCCCGGCCATGAGGGCCATCTTATCTGAGTAGTAATGGAACTCGTAAGCGGGTTTAAGCAGAGTAGTGGTATAGCCTATCTTAACCTTTAAATTGGCAGAAGCAAGTAGCCTAGTCAGGAAGCCAGTCCAGGTGAGACAGAAAGCAGTATCTGTAACTGTAGTTAGTGCCGGTGGAGGTGATGAGAAGTAGTTGAATTATGGACGTTTTGAAAATACAGCAGGCCAGGCACAGTGGCTCACACCTGTAATCCCAGCACTTTGGGAGGCTGAGGCGGGCAGATTACGAGGTTGGGAGTTCAAGACCAGCCTGGCCAACATGGTGAAACCCCATCTCTACTAAAAATACAAAAATTAGCCAGGCATGGTGGCACCCACCTGTAATCCCAGCTACTCAGGAGGCTGAGGCAGGAGAATCGCTTTAAACCGGGAGGCGCAGGTTGCAATGAGCCGAGATTGTGCCACTGCACTCCAGCCTTGCAGCCTGGGTGACAAAGTGAGAGTCCATCTCAAAAAACAAAAAAGTAAAAAAGAAAAAAAATTAAAAATTTAAAAAGTTAAGTGGCCAGATACTTCGGGCAGTTTTTAAAATTAAACATTGTCAACCTAATACTAAGAATATTAGGTTTACATTATAAAACAAGAGCAGTGCCTTAACCCAAAATACTGATGAAGGTTACAGCTAAGGGGCAAGGGGAACAGATTCCACCAACACCGCGAAGCTAACAGTTTTTTAGGGTGTATTCATCTGCAGATACAATCTTTCCTAAAACAAAGGTCATGCACTAATTGCTACTTCCTATTGAAAATATACTTTTGAGCCTCAGGAATAGAGAAAACAAGAAATTTCAAGGTTACTAAAAGATTAACTGACAATCTAGTAAGAAAACTGTAACCACATTTCTAATATAGACAAGAAATAGCAACTTAAAAGTGGAAAAATTTTGGAGGTGAATAAAAACAATTGCATCGTACTTCAGAGCAACTTTATCATCTAGAAAGCTGCAAAAAGAAACCGAAAATTGAGTTTTTAATGCATGGAGCTCTCAAACTGCCAGTATTCCAAGAATATAAACAAAAAGCTGTATCAGAAACTGTTGAGCTTTTCTTTTTCCGAGAAGTGTCAACAAAAGCAGGATCAACTCATCCGATAATACTTCGAAAAACAAAGAACGAAGTGGACGAAGTCAAACGACAAAGAAAATATCCGCGCTCCGATAATTTAACGCTAACTCTAAAAATGATCTCATTATGTTAGGGCATTTACCAATTGTTGCTTCATAAAAATGGCCCGCTCGTTCAGCACCATGTCAATCACAACGGTAGTAAGCCACTATAAACATATATTTAATACATTTCCCCTCAATTAATATATTCCTTCTGGGTGAAAGTTCCAAATCCTTGGGGTGTCTGGTAAGGCTTTTTGGTCGGTGGGTGCTACAGAAGGAAAGCCAGAGGTTAAAGAAAAATGCTTGGCTTTTTTCCAATTGGCAACTGCAAGAATAAAGTTTACCGCACTGAAAATTAGTATGAGCAGCCTCAAGAAAAAAAAAAAATCCCATCACCGAGAAGAAAATGAAAGGAAGAGTTTCAGTAGGAAATCAAAAGTAAAATTAAAGGGAGACGGCTGTAAAGATAAGAAGAGGTTAATAAAAAAAAGGGGAGAAGCGGGAAAAGAGAAGGAAAGGAAAGAAAGCATGGGACAAAAGTAAGGTTCGACGAGCTCTAAAAAGAGATCTGAATGAAAAAGTCTTTTCTCCACGTCTAAGACCACAGAGGGCCCGTGGCGAGAGCAAAGGTCACGCAATGGTGTAAAGTGAAGGGATTCATTGATAGGGTTGTGCCCCGTCTCCCTTCACCTCATCCTCTTAGAGATCGGGTCTTGGTTCTAAGCATCCAGGTGCGTGCTAAGGAAACAAAAACCATGATATCGCGGTGTCCACGGAGAACAATAGTCTGGGAGCGGCGCAGGGCCGAGGCCTTCCCTCCGGGACGACCACCATCCCGCCTCCCTCATCGCTGCCCCAGACTCACAGAGTCTTGGGCATCTCGTCCTCCATGGCTGCTGCTGTCGCGGCGGCGCCTCCAGGTCCAGTTCCCTGCCCTTCACTACCTCCCAAATTGTTTGAGCGGTTATGGCTACGGGATAGCTGGGTTTCTCGGCTGACCAGAGGTTACTCCACCTCCTTCTTCCGCGGCAATTACACTAAACTGCCCGGCCCAGCGCAAACAATGAAGCCCCAATACAAGATGGCGGCGAGCCGGGAGCATAGGAGCAGCCAGCGAAGTTATCCGGGACGCGCAGGCGCAGAATAACCTTGCACTTTCAACCTCCCGGCGGCCAGGCTACATCTCAATCCATAGGTTCACTTGTTGCGCAGCCGCTTTTCCACCCTACGCTAGGGACGTTTCAGACTGCGCAGGCGCAAAGATTAACTACTTCACCATTGGCGTGAACTTTTTGTCTTCTGTCTGCGGATTCGAGTGTTTCGACCGTTAATTATAATGGAGTGGAAACCTTAAGGGAGAGTAAAAAGCCTAAGCCTTTCTAAAGGAGGAAAAATACATCAAGATTCTTCAAGCTATCTGGTTTATTAGACAGCGGTAAGCAAAATAGTCGTGCGCCGCCCGGGAATCGAACCCGGGTCGCAAGAATGGGAATCTTGCATGATACCACTACACCAGCGGCGCTGTTAGTACAAGAGGCCGCCAGAATAATTTAGGAGTAAATGAAAGCAGACGTTCATTTTCATACGAGAAGAATTTTCATATATTATTTACCTATTTAAAAGTAAAAGTTTATTGACAGTCTATAATCTTCTGTTTTTCTTTCTTTTTTGGTGCCGTGACTCGGATAATCTTCTGTTTTTCTTTTTCTTTTTTTTAAATTGCATTTTAGGTTTTGGGGTACATGTGAAGAACATGCAAGACTGTTGCTTAGGTACACACGTGGCAGTGTGATTTGCTGCCTTCCTCCCCTTCACCTATAATTCTTCTGTTTTTCAATGACATAAATAATCGATCTTCTCTCATCCCAAACAACTGAATGAATGTTTCAACTTTCTTTGTACAGAAAAAAAAAAAAAAATCTCAATTTAAAATATTTTACTTAAGAAATAAGAAAAAAAAGTTTTACTTAAAAAAGTAAGAATTTTATTAAGAATTTGCCTTGTTGGCCGGGCATGGTGGCTCATGCCTGTAATCCTAGCACTTTGGGAGGCTGAGGTGGGTGGATCATCTGAGGTCAAGAGTTCAAGGCCAGCCTGGCCATCATGGTGAAACCCCATCTTTAAAAAAAAAATAATTTGCCTTATTGATGCTAATCAGATTTTTGAGAGAGGGGACGATATTTCCAGATGCCAGATTTTTATTTACATTTGCATTTCTTTTGCGTATTTAATGCACACTGAAAAGCATTTAAGAAACAGCTGTTTAGGCTAGACACGGTGGCTCACACCTGTAATTCCAGCATTTTGTGGAAGCTGAGGTGGGTGGGCCACCTGAAGTCGGGAGTTCAAGGCCAGTCTGGTCAACATGGAAAGAACCTCATCTCTACTGAAAATACAAAACTCAGCCGGCTGTGGTGGTGCCTGCCGGTAATCCCAGCTACTCGGGAGCTGAGGCCAGAGAATAATAGCTTGAACCCGGGAGGCCGAGGTTTCGGGGAACCAAGATCGGTGGCATTGCACTCCAGCCTGGGCAACAAGAGTGAAACTTGGTCTCAAAAAGGAAAAAAGAAAAGTTTTTTAAACATAGGAGAATTTACACATTGAAAAACATGCTGTTGGCCTAGTGGGGCTGCTCACTCCTGTTATCCCAGTCTTTGGGAGGCGGAGGCGGGCAGATGACTTGAGCTCAGGAGTTCGAGACCAGCCTGACCAACATGGTGAACCCCTCCCCACACTTTAAAATATAAAAATTAGCCGGGCATGGTGGCACACATCTGTAATCCCTGCTACTAGGGAGGCTGAGGCATGAGAATCGCTTGAACCTGGGAGGCAGAGCTTGCAGTGAGCCAAGACTGTGCCACTGCACTCCAGCCTGGGAGACAAAGCAAGTCTCAAAAACAAAACAAAACAAAACCACACCAAAAACAACCAACCAACCAACAACAACAACAACAGCAGCAACAATGACAAAATCCAAAAAACAAAACAAAACAAAAAAGGTGATGTCATCTTCAAAGTAGTTTCTTCAGACTAATGCAATCTGGATTTTTTGGAATTGTCTTTAGAGTCTCTGGCATATTCTTCAGATTATTTCCAAAGATATCAAGTACTATTTTTTTGAGGGTGAATAAAACAAATGTTAATGGTGGATGGTATTTTTAAAACACCTTTTTGGGACACCCATATAAAGTGTGTATCAGTTTAATGTTTTTTAGTTTATACACAGTTGTGTTTGCAACAATCACCATGATCAATTTTTTTCTTTAAACTGATACAGTAAGTCACTACCAGCAGACACAATCAATTTTATAACATTTCCTTCATCTCAAAAAGAAAAACCCTTAGCAATTAGCAGTCACTCCCTGTCCCTCATCCCATCCCATGTCTCAGCCACTAGTCTTTCTGTCCCTATAGATTTGCCTATTCCAGGTATTTCATATAAATGGAAGCATGCAATATATGGTTCCTTGTGACTGGTTTCTTTCACTTAACCTTATGCTTTTCAGGGTTATCCATGTTGTAATATGTATCAGTACTTCATTCCTTTTTATTCCCAAATAAAATTCCATTATATGGATGTTGCACAAGTATTTTTTTAGTACAGTAGTTTTTAAGTTACAAAAGTAATACGTGCTTAGTATTACAAATGAAACAAAAAATGGATACATAAGAAAAATATTAGCCGAGCGCGGTGGCTCACGCCTATAATCCCAGCACTTTGGGAGGCTGAGGCGGTGGATCACGAGGTCAAGAGATCGAGGCCATCCTGGTCAACATGGCGAAACCCTGTCTCTACTGAAAATACAAAAATTAGCTGGACATGGTGGTGCACGCCTGTAGTCCCAGCTACTCAGGAGGCTGAGGCAGGAGAATTGCTTGAACCCAGAAGGCGGAGGTTGCGGTGAGCTGAGATCATGCCATTGGACTCCGGTCTGGGTAACAACAGCGAAACTCCATCTCAAAAAAAAAAAAAAAGAAAAATATTAAAAATGTATCTTCCCCTTCTTGAGGTAAGTAATATTAATAGATTTGTCTGTAATGCTTCACATTTTACTCTATACAGATGCACATATTTACACTTGGGATTTTTAGGTTTTTTTTTTTAGACAGAGTCTCACTCTGTCACCCAGGCTGGAGTGCTGTGGTGCAATCTTGGCTCACTGTGAACTCCGTCTCCTGGGCTCAAGCGATTCTTGTGCCTCAGCCTCCAGAGCAGCTGGGATTACAGGTGAGAGCCACCACAGTTGGCTAATTTTTTATTTTTAGTAGAGATGGGGTTTCACCATGTTGGCCAGGCTGGTCTCGAAGTCCTGATTTCAAATGATCCATCCGCCTCGGCCTCCCAAAGTGCTGGGATTATAGAAGTGAGCCACCACGCCCTTTAGTTATTTTTTTAAAAATGTGGTTGCACCATAGGTATTACTTGACAACAACTTTTGTTTGTTTGTTTTTGAGACAAAGTCTCACTCTGTCTGTTGCCCAGGCTGGAGTACAGTGGCCTGATTTCAGTTCACTACAACATCTGCCTTTCTGGTTCAAGGGATTCTCCTGCCTCAGCCCCCCTAGTAGCTGGGATTACATTCGTGGGCCACCACACCACACTAATTTTTGTGTTTTTAGTAGAGACGGGTTTCACCATTTTGGCCAGGCTGGTCTCGAACTCCTGACTTCAAGTGATCCCCCTGTCTTGGCCTCCCAAAGTGCTGAGACAGAGGTGAGCCACTGCGCCTGGACTTTTTTTTTCTTTTCTTTTTTTGAGACACGATCACTCAGTCACCCAGGCTGGAGTGCAGTGGCAGTGATCTCCACTTACTGAAGCCTCCACCTCCTGGGCTCAGGTGTTTCTGCCACCTTAGCCTCCTGAGTAGTTGGGACTACAGGTGTGCACCACCACACCCAACTAATTTTTGTAATATTTGTAGAGACACATATCTCACTTTGTTGCCCAGATTGGTCTTAAACTGCTGGGCTCAATCGATTCACTAGCCTTGGCCTCCCAAAGTGCTGGGATTACAGGCATGAGCCACTGTGCTCAGTCCTGGCCTAATAGTTTTTTTTTTTTTTTGAGATGGAGTCTCCCTCTGTTGCCCAGGTTGGAGTGCAATGGCACAATCTTGGCTCACTGCAATCTCCACCTCCCAGGTTCAAGCAATTCTCCTGTCTCAGCCTCCCGAGTAGCTGGGACTACAAACACCCACCACCACACCCAGCTAACTTGTGCATTTTTTTTGGTAGAGATGGGGTTTCACCATATTGGCCAGTCTGGTCTCAAACTTCTGACCTTGTGGTCTGCCTGCCTCGGCCTCCCAAAGTGCTGTGATTACAGGCATGAGCCACTTCGCCCTGCTAATAGTTTTTTTTAATAGTTGCAAAACTGTCCATAAAAGGAAAGTTCCACAATGTATTCAGTGGTAAATTGAATAAACTACCATAAGTGGCATTGATGGATATTCAGGTTCTTTTTTTTTTTTTTTTTGAGACGGAGTTTCGCTCTTGTTACCCAGGCTGGAGTGCAATGGCGCGATCTCCGCTCACCGCAACCTCCGCCTCCTGGGTTCAGGCAATTCTGCTGCCTCAGCCTCCTGAGTAGCTGGGATTACAGGCATGTGCCACCATGCCCAGCTAATTTCTTGTATTTTTGGTAGAGACGGGGTTTCACCATGTTGACCAGGATGGTCTTGATCTCTTGACCTCGTGATCCACCCGCCTCAGCCTCCCAAAGTGCTGGGATTACAGGCGTGAGCCACCGCGCCCGGCGATATTGAGGTTCTTTTAAAAACTCTATTATATTACAAATAATGAATGTTGCGTTGTATCCTGGTACATACTTTTTTTTTTTTTTTTTGAGGTTGGTAGGTAGGCACATTCCAGTCTGTGCCCAGGCTGGAATGCAGTGGCGTGACCACTGATCACCTCAGACTACACCTCCCAGACTCAGGTGATCCTCCTGCCTCATCCTCCAGAGTAGCTGGGCCTACAGGTGCACACCACCATATCAGACTGATTTTCTTGTATTTTTTCATAAAGACGAGTTTTGTCATTTTGCTCAGGCTGGGCTTGAATCCCTGGGCTCAAACCATCTGTCCACCCTTGCCTCCCAAAGTGCTGGGATTACAGACATTTTATACACATCATGCAGCCAAAAGTTTTTCTTTACTAATAATACTAGAACATTAGTTATATACCCAACATTTTTTTTTTTTTTTGAGATGGAGTCTCACTCTGTCACCCAGCTTGGAGTGCCATGGTGCAAACTTGGCTTACTGCAACCTCTGCCTCCTGGGTTCAAGTAATTATCCTGACTCAGCCTCCTGAGAAGCTGGGATTACAGGCATGCACCACCACACCCAGCTAATTTTTTTTGTATTCTTGGTAGAGATGGGGTTTCACCATGTTGGCCAGGCTGGTCTCAAACTCCTGACCTCAAGTGATCCGCCTGCCTCAGCCTCCCGGAGTGCTGGGATTACGTGAGCCACTGCACCTGGCCTTTTTTTAATGCATGCATAATGTTCTGCAGTATGGTATGTTGGGGAGAAAAAGAGTTTTTCCTCTACCGTTCAGAGTTTTTGAGTGAAATATCCCCTGTAGCAAAAGACAGATTAGCAAGGAGAAAACAAACAGGGCCAGGCATGGTGGCTTATGCCTGTAATCCCAACACTTTGGGAGGCTGAGTTGGGTGGATCACTTGAGCTCAGGAGTTCCAGAGCAGCCTGGGCAATATGGCAAAAAACCATCTCTACAAAAAATGTAAAAATTAGCTGGGTGTGGTGATGCATGCCTGTGGTCCCAGCTACTCTATTCTGGCAGCTGAGGTAGGTGGATTGCTTGAGCCCAGGAGGAAAAGTTTGCAGGGAGCTGTGATCATGCCACTGCACTTCAGCCTGGGTGATAGAGCAAGACTGTCTCAAAAATCAATAAATGAAAGAAAAAAAAAAAAAGACAAACGAACAGAAATGTAAAAATGTGTACCTCATGTATGCAAAAGAGAGACCAGGGAAATAAGCAAATCTCTGAGGTGGGGTTGAATTCAGGCTTATACAGCATATTCAAAAAAGAACAGTATATGTTTAGAGAAGTGTTAAGAGAAGGAAAATGATTTTGAGTCTCTAGGGGTGGCAAATTGTGGGAAGGCAAATAAGTGATAGAAAAAGACTCATTAATACAGTTTGCCATGTAGATTTCTGGCTGACAAAGATCTGTCAAAAGACAAAATTACAACTAATTTAAAGACCGTAATTGGCTTTTAGTTGTGATTGTAGAACTGCGCAATACCTCATTCTATAAGATAGAGCGGAGGAGGTTGAACTGAGCAGAGGTTGGCTTTATAGACAGAAAGGGCTGAAGAAAGCGGACACAGAAAAGTGAATTGGTTGAGGTTGCTTTCCTTTTAAAGGTTTTTTTGAGACTTAGTTTCGCTTTTGTTGCCCAGGCTGGAGTGCAATGGTGCGATCTTGGCTCACTGCAACCTCCACCTCCTGGGTTCAAGCGATTCTCCTGCCTTAGCCTTCTGAGTAGCTGGGATTACAGGTGCCAGCCATCATGCCCAGCTTCTCTGTGTGTGTGTGTGTGTGTAGCAGAGTTGGGGTTTCACCATGTTGGCCAGGCTGGTCTTGAATCTTGACCTCTGGTGATGCACCTGTCTTGGCCTCCCAAAGTGTTGGGATTACAGGCATGAGCCACGGCGCCCAGCCTCCTTGAAAAGTTCAAAGTAGAGGGGATTTCCTTACCATGCCATCTAAAACTGGTCTGTTTGGGGATTTGGCTATTATTTTTCTTTCTCCTGATTTCTTAGAAAGTCAGATGATAGACAACTTAGTTTTGACTTGGTGATGTGGAACATGAGTGACATGAGTGACTCAATGTTGGGCCTAGTCTACGGCAGGAGCGCAATCCAAAACAATGGCCTCCTATACATTTTATTTAACAGGTGTAAAATTGTCTTCAGTGATTAACATTTGTCCTTCCAGGCAGTGCGCGAAAAGGGATACCTTTGCTTTTAAAATTTATGTTCTGCTTTTAGGCAAATGGGGGAAGGTGGAGAACTTTCCTTGTATCTACATCTTCTCAATTGCCTTCGGCTTGAAAGACTCCTTAGGCTTAGGAGGAATATTTTGGGGTGGCACATTCTGGTGTCCTTACAGGTGCACTACTTTATTCATGTCTGTTACTATTATTCCACTCCCTTCACCTTAGACCACCCCATCCGCAGTCTCCCTCATTTTTCTTTCACCCAGCACCATTTACCCATTCATGGCGTACCCGAAAGTCCTCGGAACAGGGTAATCACTAGGTAAGTACTGTTGCCCCTTTGGTCTGTTTCTGGCAGCAATTAGCTGTGTGGATTCTTTGAGAGGAGAGACGGAAGGGACAGAAGTGGGCACTAGTGAAGAACTAAGGCGCTTTACCCGAATCGATAGGGAGGAAAGAGGATTGCCGAGGCGAGCCGCAGCCTGTGCCTTCGATGTCTTCTGAAGGAAGGTGGGCTTCGGGGCGGAAGGGTGTACTTAGGGCACTGAGTGGCCCAGGGTGGGGAGCTCCTGGAGGACTGAGAGAACTTGAGGGCGAGGCGCCTGGGGGAGGCGCCTGGGCGACGGGGCTGGGCGGAGCGCGCAGCCGCGTAGCGGCGGGACGAGTGCGGGGCTCCAAAGTCCGGCGGCAGAGCTCGTGGAGGAGACCATGGGGCGAGCTGTCGCGGAGCTCGTTTCCTCGCTGCTAGGGCTGTGGCTGCTGCTGTGCTGCTGGGGCTGCCCCGAGGGCGCGGAGCTGCGTGCCCCGCCAGATAAGATCGGTAGGCGAGAAGGGGGCGGCGCGGGAGGGCGCTGGAGCGTGCCCCGCGCGGGGCGGCTGCTGCGCAGTGCGCCCAGATCCCACAGCCGCGACGCAGGCCACTAGTGCAGGCCAAACCCGCCGCGCAGGTCGCGCTTCTCTCAATTCACACCTCAGAGCGGCTTTCGGCCCTGCTCCGAATAGGAATGTGCATTCCCAGGCGTGGAGAGGTGCCCACTTGAGAAATGGGCGTGGACAGGGACCGGGGCGGGCGGGCAGGCGGGCGCCCAGCGTACCTGTAGCCCCTGTTTCTTAGGCCTGGGACTCTGGGGAGGCCTAGGTTCCTCTCTCCATCTTTCCTTTGAACACTGTCCATGAAGAGTCCAGTGTATCTGGCTCGACCTGGGGCGTCCGGCCAGTTTGCAGGCTCACGCAGAAACAGCACAGGGAGGAGTGCAATCAAGCTGACCCTGCCTGCCTCCCTTGGGAGGCTGAACCCCCTTCCCCCATCTCTGCTTTGCTGAGGTCGGCCTGCTCTCAGAGACACCTGGCTTGTACAATTTCTCCACCTAGGACTAACACAGCTGCAGAAAGAATCTATTTATTGTCTTTCCAGTGTCAGGAGCCTTGGTTTTTTTGCTTCCTGTCTCCCCCAACCCGCCTTTGAAGCTGTGTTCTTCGGGGTCATTAACCTATTTACATTGAATCTAGACACAATAAAGCTAGGCAAAAATGGCAGCCACTTTATTAAAAATGCATGCTAGAAAGGCCCACCTCTAATGTACTCGTGAGTTGGGCATCAAGAAGGGTGTATAGTACCGTTGGTTCCTCCATAAATACCTGTGAGAATCTTTGGTTAAAAAAATCAAATTAATGTCACCACGTTAATTAATCTACTACTGCTTTTGTAGTGGCGGGGGCAATGTCTGTACAGATTCGGGGAGTCAGACCTTTACTGCAGATGCCACTCTCCCCACCAAATTGTTGAGAATAGCTTTGAGTAACAACCTCTCTTATTGCTTAATGGTCTTTAAAAAACGAAACAACTGGTAAAAGGGGGAAAAAAACAGTTTTCTTCTCTCATAGCGATTATTGGAGCCGGAATTGGTGGCACTTCAGCAGCCTATTACCTGCGGCAGAAATTTGGGAAAGATGTGAAGATTGACCTGTTTGAAAGAGAAGAGGTCGGGGGCCGCCTGGCTACCATGATGGTGCAGGGGCAAGACTATGAGGCAGGAGGTTCTGTCATCCATCCTTTAAATCTGCACATGAAGCGTTTTGTCAAAGACCTGGGTATGTAATTTTGATCTCGGAGCTCACCAGATAACTGCCTGACATCCCCGGATATTTTCATCCGATGGAAAACTGAAACTTCTACCTTGTTAATTGTCTTACAGAGACGTTGGTGAAACTGTTTTCCTCACTTTTTTGTTAGTTGCTATTGCTTTAGTTAGCAGTTCTGCTGTAAGGGGACACTAGTTATCTGTATCTTCAGTTATCTGGAATTACAGCCATGGGGTGGGGGTGGGAATGGCTGCTGTTGTCTGTTCTTTTTCTTCTTTTGAGACACAGTTTCACTCTTGTTGCCCAGGCTGTAGTACAATGGTGTGATCTCAGCTCACTGCAACCTCTGCCTCCCAGGTTCAAGTGTTTCTCCTGCCTCAGCCTCCTGAGTAGCTGGGATTGCAGGTTCTTACCAGCACACCCAGCTAATTTTTGTATTTTCAGTAGAGATGGGGTTTCACCATGTTGGCCAGGCTGGTCTTGAACTCTTCACTTCAGGTGATCCTCCTGCCTCGGCCTCCCAAAGTGCTGGAATTGCAGGTGTGAGCCACCATGCCCAGCCTCTGTTGTCTGGTTTTTAAACTTCTGGGTTTGTGTTGAAGAATCAGAGAAGGTTTGGAGATAGGTACCTTATTGTGATTATTTTGCAGCTGAGGAAATGAGACCCAGAGACTTGAAGTGTCTGGCTCAAAGTCACTCACACATGGCCATGGCTGGGCATAGTGGCTCATGCCTGTAATCCCAGCACTTTGGGAGGCAGAGGAAGAGGATCACTTGAGCCCAGGAGTTAGAAACCAGTCTGGGCAACATAGTGAGACCCTATCTTTACTTTTTTTTAAAAAAATTTTTCTTAGATGGGGTTTCATCATGTTGGTCAGGCTGGTCTTGAACTCCCGACCTCAGGTGATCTGCCCGCCTTGGCCTCCAAAGTGCTTGGATTACAGGCGTGAGCCACCACACCTGGCTCCTGTCTTTACTAAAAATAAAAAAAATTAGCCTGGTGTGGTGGCACAAACCTGTAGTCCCAACTACTTGGGAGGCAGAGGCAGGAGGATCCTATGAGTCTGGGAGATAGAAGCTGCAATGAGCCTTGATCGTGCCACTGCACTGTAGCCTGGGCAACAAAGTGAGACCCTGTCCAACTACCACAGACAAAACAAAGTCACTCACACAGCTATGGATGCAGACATGTGCGTAGAACTTGGGATGTGCAACTGCTGCCCTGACAGCCGGGGAGCTGGATGAGTCATGGGGACAGTCTGACAGGCCTCTGCAGGCCCTTTTGGCAGGTAGTATTTTGTAACTTTGGCCTCCCTCCAGTTATCTGAAATACCAGTTTTGCAAAAGAGGATTCTTATAGGAATGGAAACACCTCTTTCCCCTCAGCTGCCTTCCACATCCTCTGTGGATGCTGCCTCTGCTTCAATTTCCTCTACAAGGGCAAAGGTATACCCAGAACAAATCATGCCACAAAGATACATGTCTGACATCTTTGTTTTTAAATTGAATTCAGTTGGTATTCTGGCTTTTTTCCTTTGACTATTTGGTTTTTTTTTTTTTTGAGACAGAGTCTCGCTCCATCGCCAGGCGCCAGGCTGGAGTGCAGTGGCGCGATCTTGGCTCAATGCAACCTCCACCTCCCGGGTTCAAGCATTTCTCCTGCCTCAGCCTCCCTAGTAACGGCCTACAGGTGCATACCACCACGCCCAGCGAATTTATTTTTTTATTTTTAGTAGAGACAGGGTTTCATCATGTTGGCCAGGATGGTCTCAATCTCTTGACCTTGTGATCCGCCTGCCTCGGCCTCCCAAAGTGCTGGGATTACAGGTGTGAGCCACCACGCCCGGCCTGTTTCATTTTTTTAGAGTAAAAAATAGCCAGTTAAAAATATATCTACTTTTGACATATTAATATTTGCACGATATCTGAGCCATTGCCAAGCAAATCTACTTTTGGACAGTGTAGTGAAAGTATAGCCTATCACACTGTTCCAAAGACAGAACTCCTCTACGTGACTCCTGAGAACTGAGGGAAGCCCCACATTTACTCAGATTATGTTCTTTCACTTGATCAGCATAGACACCACTGACTTAGCTGCCCTTTATGTTTTTGCAGGTCTCTCTTCTGTTCAGGCCTCTGGTGGCCTACTGGGGATATATAATGGAGAGAGTCTGGTATTTGAGGAGAGCAACTGGTTCATAATTAACATGATTAAATTAGTTTGGCGCTATGGATTTCAGTCCCTTCGTATGCACATGTGGGTAGAGGACGTGTTAGACAAGTTCATGAGGTAATTTTTTTTTCATTCCAATTTAACCAAAGGTCTTTTAATGTAGGTTAAATTAAACTTGATGAACTTTAGGAGTTATAATGTCTTATAAGCATTTTCTACCTCACTGCAAGGCCTGTTTGTAACATTGTTAGGCAAGATGTTTTGTAGGAGCCATGCAGACTGTTTATCTGCTTGGAAATTGAAAGGTTAGTTTATTTTTGCTTCTGAAGTGAATTTTGCATCTGCTTCTTTTTTTTTTTTTGAGATGGAGTTTTTCGCTGTTGTTACCCAGACTGGAGTGCAATGGCATGATCTTGGCTCACTGTAACCTCCGCCTCCTGGGTTCAAGCAATTCTCCTGCCTCAGCCTCCCGAGTAGCTGGGACTACAAGCGTGCACCACTATGCCCAGCTAATTTTTGTATTTTTAGTAGAGACGGGGTTTCACCATGTTGACCAGGATGGTCTCAATCTCTTGACCTCGTGATCCACCCACTTGGCCTCCCAAAGTGCTGGGATTATAGGAGTGAGCCACCGCGCCCGGCCTGCATCTGCTTCTTTAGTGTTGCCAGACATTGTTAGATGCCTTGAGTTCTCATGACAACTTACACAGGTAGGTACTGTTATTAGCTTCTTTAAACAGATGCAGAAGGGGCGGTGTAGAGGTTTTAAGAGAGCAGGTTCATCCACGTAGTAAGTGGTGTAGCTGGAGTTGCCACCCAGACAATCTGGCTTTAGAGTCTTCACTCTTAATCTCTATGCTGTGCTAGTGTTATGTAGATGAATGAGATAATGTGTACAAGAGTTGTAGAAGGATCAGAAAACTTAAATGGGCTTTAACAGTGACATGTTTTCAGTGAACCAGCAGCCTGAGTAGAGTAAAAGTTCCATATTCCAAGAATTTACATTCCAGCACTGTCCTGAGTAGTAAGAATTCAGGTGCCTCTTTTGTTCCTTACGCTTTTCTATATTTAAACACTTTTTTATGTGTTTGTATATGTATCACTTTGGTAATCAGGAAGACTAACATAACATAGCCATTCTAATTTTGAAAGGTACAATCTGTTTTTTTTTTTTTTTTAATCTCTTGGCATGTGCTAGTTTTTTTTTTTGAGATGTTATTTCATTCTTGTCGCCCAAGCTGGAGTGTGATGGTGTGATCTTGGCTCACTGAAACCTCTGTCTGTGAGTTCAAGTGATTCTCCTGCCTCAGACTCCTGAGTAGCTGGGATTATAGGTGCCCACCACCATGCCCGGGTAATTTTTTTTTTTTTTCTGAGATGGTGTCTCGCTCGGATTATAGGTGCCCACCACCACGCCTGGGTAATTTTTTTTTTTCTGAGACGGTGTCTCGCTCTGTCACTTAGGCTGGAGTGCAGTGGCATAATCTTGGCTCACTGCAACCTCCACCTCCTGGGTTCAAGCAATTCTCCTGCCTCAGCCTCTCAGGTAGCTGGGATTACAGGCATGTGCCACCATGCCTGGCTCATTTTTTTCTTTGTTTGTATTTTTAGTAGAGACGGGGTTTTGCCATGTTGGCCAGGCTCGTCTCAAACTTCTGACCTCAGGTGATCCACTTGCCTCGGACTCCAAAATTGCTGGGATTTCAGGTGTGAGCCACTGCATCCAGCCAGCATGTGCTAATTTTTATGCTGGTTTACATTTCTAGGTGCTGGAGGCCGGGCGTAATCCCAGCACTTTGGGAGACCAAATGGCGTGGATCACCTGATGTCAGGGGTTCGAGGTCAGCCTGGCCAACATGGCGAAACCCTGTCTCTACTAAAAATACAAAAATTACCAGGTGTGGTGGCTCACACCTGTAATCCAGCACTCTGGGAGGCTGAGGCGGGTGGATCACCTGAGGTTGGGAGTTCAAGACCAGCGTGACCAACATGGTGAAACCCCGTCTCAACAACAACAACAACAAAAAACAAAAATTAGCCGAGTGTGGTGGCGGGCACTTGTAGTCTCAGCTACGTGAGAGGCTGAGGCAGGAGAATTGCTTGAACCTGGGAAGTGGAAGTTACAGTGAGCCAAGATTGTGCCACTCCACTCCAGCCTGGGTGACAGAGCAAGATTCCATCTCAAAAAAAAAAGGAAGAAAAAGGTGCTGGAGAAACTTAGCTCGTAAATTTTCATATTTCATTACTATGACTGCTTTAACATAATAAAGTAATTGTTAAAAAGATAAAATGACATGTCATGGCTGGGTGCAGTGTCTCATGGCTGTAATCACAGCACTTTGGGAGACTGAGGTGGTGGATCATGAGGTCAGGAGTTTGCGACCAGCCTGGCCAACATGGTGAAAGCCTGTCTCTACTAAAAACAAAAAAAAAATAAGCCAGGTGTGGTGGCACATGCCTGTAATTCCAGCAACTTGGGAGGCTGAGGCAGGAGAATTGCTTGAACCCAGGAGGTGAGGTTGCAGTGAGCCAAGAGTGTACCATTGCAATCTAGCCTGGGCTACAAGAGTGAAACGCCATCTCAAAAAAAAAAACAAACCCCAAAAACCCATAAAAAAAAAAACCATAAAAAAATTAGCTGGGCATGGTGCTCTACCTGTGGTTCCAGCTACTCAGGAGGCTGAGGTGGGAGGATTGCTTGAGCCTGGGAGTTTAAGGTTATAGTGAACTATGATTGTGCCACTGTACTCCAGCCTGAGTGACAGAGCAAGACACTCTCTCTTAAAAAAAAAAAAAAAAAAAAAAAAACCAGCAAAAAAGAAAACAAAGAAAAACAGTAGTGAAATACTGCTGGAGTGGTGAAATTGTAGCTTCCCTGAGTGGGGAGGCATCTTCCCCTGCTAAAGAACCCCACTTCCCTTCCCTCAGCAGGAAGCCTTGATTCAGTTCCACTTCCACAGCCAATGTGCTTTCTGTTTCAGGTGTACTGCTTAAATATCTTTACTATTACCCTATGTTAGAAATATTCTGGAATGTCACAAAAATCAAGAGTAGAAGTCATAGAGATTACCAAAGAGGAACTTGGAACCAGTTTCCCTCCGTTTCAGTTGAAGCAGTAGTTCTCAGCCAGGAGTGGTGGCTCATGCTTGTAATCCAGCACTTTGGGAGGCCGAGGTGGGTGGATCACTTGAGGTCAGGAATTTGAGACTAGCCTGGTCAACTTGATGAAACCCTGTCTCTACTAAAAATAACAAAAATAAGCTGGGCGTGGTAGCCCAAGTGTGTAATCCTAGCTGTTTGGGAGGCTAAGGCAGGAGAATCACCTGAACCTGGAAGGTAGGGGTTGCAGTGAGCTGGGATCACACCATTCCATGCCTGGGTGATAGAGTGAGACTCCATCTCAAAAAAAAAAAAAAAAAAAAAAAAAAAAGCAGTAGTTCTCAATCCCTGGCCGCACATGGAGGTCTTTTTAAAATATGAATGCTGAGCTCCACCTGAGAGATTTTTAAAATTTAATTATTCTAGGGTAGAGGTTTGGCATTTTTATTTTTATTTTAGAGACAAGGTCTCACTCAGTCATTGTCAGGCTGGAGAGCAGTGGTGCCATCATGGCTTACTGGGTCTCGCTATGTTGTCCAGGCTGGTCTCAAACTCCAGGGCTCAAGTGATCCTCCAGCCTTGGCCTCCTAGAGTGCTTGGATTACAGGTGTGAGCTACTGTGTCTGGCCAGCATTGGTAGTTTTAAAAGTACCTCAAGTGAATCTTCATGTTTTTTTTTTGAAGATGAGTTTTGTTCTTGTTGCCCAGGCTGGAGTGCAGTGGCGCAATCTTGGCTCACTGCAACCTTTGCCTCTCTAGTTCAAGCGATTCTTCTGCCTCAGCCTCCCAAGTAGCTGGGATTACAGGTGCTCACCACCACACCTGGCTAATTTTTTGTATTTTTAGTAGAGATGGGGTTTCACCACGTTGGCCAGGCTGGTCTTGAACTCTTGCCCTCAGATGATTCACCCACTTTGGCCTCCCAAAGTGCTGAGATTACAGGTGTGAGCCACCATGCCTACCCGGCTCTTAATTTTTTTTTTTTTTAAGAGATGGGGGTTTCACCATATTAGCCAGGATAGTCTTGATCTCCTGACCTTGTGATCTCACTGCCTTGGCCTCCCAAAGTGCTGGGATTATAGGCGTGAGCCACTGTACCCTGCCAATTTCTTATTTTCATACACTTATCTCTGTGTGTGCCTTATTACTTATCCCTAACTGTAAGCCCCTTAAGGGAATAAGAGATAAGCCCCTTATTATCCTGAACTTAAGCCCCTTTTTCATCTTTGTACCATTTGCAACATGAGAAATTATGTTTGAATTACTGCATGCACTAATTTATGTGAATGTTGTATTAAATCCATAAAGTGCAGAGAAATGTCAGGTGATATTTTTCTTTTTGTTTGTGATCAAGTGATATTTTCTAAAAAATAAATGATACAGGCCAGGCACGGTGGTGCATGCCTGTAATCCCAGTACTTTGGGAGGCCAAGGCAGGTGGATCACAAGGTCAAGAGATTGAGACCATCCTGGCCAACATGGTGAAACCCTGTCTCTACTAAAAATACAAAAATTAGCTGGGCCATGGTGGCTCACGCCTGTAGTCCCAGCTACTCAGGAGGCTGAGGCAGGAGAAACCCTTGAACCTGGGAGGCAGAGGTTGTAGTGAGCCAAGATTGCACCACTGCACTCCAGCCTGGTGACAGAGTGAGACTCCATCTCAAAAAAAAAAATCATCTAATTAATGAGTGGCATTGGTGCTAAGGTTTATGAGGCTTTTGGAGATGATGTAACTGTGGACTGAGAAGTCAAGCAAGATGTTTCAGAAAAGGTGAGATACAAGTTCTCTTAAGGAAGAATAGATGTTCTATGGTTAAGAATGGGAAGTGTATTCAGGTTGGAGGGAGGAGCTTATGCACTGGTGGGGAGACAACATGTAGGGCATATTTAGAGACCAGGGAATGGGTCTGGTGTGCTCCAGTGAAGAGTGTGCATGTATGGGTGATTGAGGTCAGAGTGAGTAAGTTGTGATTGAGCCTTCTACTTGCCATGTGACCTTTAGACAAAGTCTTTTCTTTCTACTCTTTATTTTTCCTTTTTCTTCTTCATTTATTTTTAAGAGACAGGGTCTCACTGTCTGGCCCAGGCTGGAGTTCAGTGGCACGATCACAGTTCACTGTGGCTTTGAACTCTGGGGCTCAAGCTATCCTCCTGCCTCAGCCTCCTGAGTAGCTGGGACCACAGGCACATGCCACCATGCCCAGTTAATTTTTATATTTTTAGTAGAGATGGGTTTTTGCCATGTTGGCCAGGCTGGTCTTGAACTCCTGACCTGAGGTGATCCACCCACCTCGGTGTCCAAAGTGTGGGAATTATAGGCGTGAGCCACTGCACCCAGCTGTCAGTTTGATTGTTATGATGTCATTTCCCTTCTTTATACATCCTCTTCCCCACATCTTGTTTGGTATTTAATGGACATTTCTCTTCTTTTCCAAAGGATCTACCGCTACCAATCTCATGACTATGCCTTCAGTAGTGTAGAAAAATTACTACATGCTCTAGGGGGAGATGAATTCCTTGGAATGCTTAACCGAACACTTCTTGAAACCTTGCAGAAGGCTGGCTTCTCTGAGAAATTCCTCAATGAAATGATAGCGCCTGTTATGAGGGTCAATTATGGCCAAAGCACAGACATCAATGCCTTTGTGGGTAAGCCAGGGCATGGAACAGTGGTGGACATTAGTTCTCAAAGGGGCTTACCTGATGCTATGGTGGCTCCTGACTTTAGGCCATGGACTGGAGGCTGCCTTTCTCTGTGAACCTCAGACATTGTTAGCAAAATCCTGCATATGTAGATGTGCATTTTTAGGGGGAGAGGGTCTTTAGCTTTCATTGGTTCAGTGATTCTTAATTGTGGGGTTTTGCTCCCAAAGGCCATTTAGCAATGTCTAGAGACATTTGGAGTAGAACATGTGATTGGGAAGGGAGAGTGGGTACACAGCCTCTTACAAAGTCAGAAATAAAACATGTTTTTTCCTCCTGTTCACAGGGGCAGTGTCATTGTCCTGTTCTGATTCTGGCCTTTGGGCAGTAGAAGGTGGCAATAAACTTGTTTGCTCAGGGCTCCTGCAGGCATCCAAAAGCAATCTTATATCTGGCTCAGTAATGTACATAGAAGAGAAAACAAAGACCAAACACACAGGTAAGGTTGAATTTCTGTTTTATTGATCCTGATTTCCCCTGTAGAAAATGATTGCTCAGGGAGAAACACCTCTCTTTTGTCATCTCTTACTTGGTTCTAAAATGATGAAACTATGAAACTTGAAATTGTGCCATGTAGAAATAGTCCCCAATGTAGTTAAGTGCAGTGGCATTACTCCTTGGATTTGAAAAATAATCTTATCTTCAAAAGTAAAAATTCCGTATTTTGTACTTACTGACATTCTGAATAAGAAATTGGCCACAATGTAATAAAAATGCAAGGGACAGCTATCTTAAGGGATATAACTTATTCAGTTCTTTTTTTTTTCCTTTGGAGACGGAGTCTTGCTCTGTTGCCCAGGCTGGAGTGCAGTGGCATGATCTGGCTCACTGCAACCTTTACCTCCCGGGTTCAAGCAATTCTCCTGCCTCAGCCTCCCAAGTAGCTGGGACTACAGGCATATGCCACCATGCCCAGGTAATTTTTTTGTATTTTTAGTAGAATGGGGTTTCACCATGTTGCCCAGGCTGGTTTTGAACTCCTGAACTCAGGCAGTTCACCAGCTTTGGCCTCTCCAAGTGTTAGGATTACAGGCGTGAGCCACTGCACCCGGCCATAACTTCAATTCTTTAGAATTATAGAGAAATTATGAAGAAAGTATAGAATTATTTTTAGAAGGTATATTAGAAACACTAAACAAATATATGCCTCCTTATTTCCTCTAGGAAACCCAACAAAGATGTATGAAGTGGTCTACCAAATTGGAACTGAGACTCGTTCAGACTTCTATGACATCGTCTTGGTGGCCACTCCATTGAATCGAAAAATGTCCGGTATTACTTTTCTCAACTTTGATCCTCCAATTGAGGAATTCCATCAATACTACCAGAATATAGTGACAACTTTAGTTAAGGGGGAATTGAATACATCTATCTTTAGCTCTAGGCCCATAGATAAATTTGGCCTTAGTACAGTTTTAACCACTGATAATTCAGATTTGTTCATTAACAGTATTGGTATTGTGTCCTCTGTGAGAGAAAAGGAAAATCCTGAGTCATCAACAGATGGAACACATGTTTGGAAGATGTTTTCTCAAGAAACTCTTACTAAAGCGCAAATTGTAAAGCTCTTTCTGTCCTATGATGATGCTGTGAAGAAGCCATGGCTTGCCTATCCTCGCTATAAGCCCCCAGAGAAATGCCCCCCTATCATTCTCCACGATCGACTTTATTACCTCAATGGCATAGAGTGTGCAGCGAGTGCCATGGAAATGAGTGCCATTGCAGCCCACAACGCCGCGCTCCTTGCCTATCACCGCTGGAACGGGCACACAGACATGATTGACCAGGATGGCTTATATGAGAAACTTAAAACTGAGCTATGAAATGACACATTCTTTTTTCCCCTCCTAGTTCCAAATGACTATCAGTGGCAAAAAAGAACAAAATCTGAGCAGAGATGATTTTGAACCAAATATTTTGCCATTACCATTGTTTAACAGAAGTAATCCCTGCTAGTCATAAGAAAACACAAGGTTCTAATTAAGTGTGAAAGTGTAACTATTGCACTTATTCCGTCTCCAAAGTTTCTTATTCTTTCACTATCCATTGGGAGTGTTTCTTTTTTTTTTTGAGACAGAGTCTAACTCAGTCACCCAGGCTGGAGTGCAATGGTGCGATCTCGGCTCACTGCAACCTCTGCCTCTCAGGTTCAAGCAATTCTCTTGCCTCAGCCTCCTGAATAGCTGGGATTACAGGCACGTGCCACGGCGCCCAGCTAATTTTTGTATTTTTAGGAGAGACGTGGTTTCAACATCTTGGCCAGGGTGGTCTTGAACTCGTGACTTCGTGATCCACCCGCCTTGGCCTCCCAAAGTGCTGGGATTACAGGTGTGAGCCACCGTGCCTGGCCGGGAGTGTTTCTTAAGCTTGTCTGATAAGAATTACCTGGAGTTAGGTGGTGGTGGTTGCAGTGAGCCGAGATCGTGCCATTGCACTCCAGCCTGGGCAACAAGAGCAAAACTCCGTCTTAAAAAGTAAAAATAAAAAGAATCACCTGGAGTTTGTTAAACCATATGGATTCTCAGGCTCCTCTCTTGGAGATTCTGATTCAGTAGGTCTGGGGGTGGGGCCCTGGATTTTGATCAAAATTGTAGAGCATTTTAAGGTGAGTACCTGAGGGAGAACTTAAACACATCTTATGTGGGGAGTAGTCCTTTTGAACTTTACAGCCAGATGTATTCTTCAGTCAGATAAAATTTATGGGAGCTGGTGTCTTATGCCTGACTCTTAGTAATTTCATACCTAAGAGTCTGAAAGTTTGAAGTACATGTGCTCAAACTAGAATGTTGTCTTACGATTCTTCTATCTTGATTTAATTAGGGGTGTAATTTAGAAGTCTTAGTAATGTAACTTTAAGATGTTAAACAAAAATCTCAAAATGAAAAGCAAATATGGGCTAATGAATTGTGAAACTGGCATTCTATTATTAAATCCTTACTTCAGGAGCTTTAAAAAATACTGAGAGACCCCCATAACTAGAGGTGCAGATTCAAAGATTGAGGATAGGACCTTAGGACTGTAGCTTTTAAAAGTTTCTAATGTGCACCCAGGGTTGAGAATCACTAATGTGGGGGTGAAAACGTCTACAAAGGGGTTTTAGTGCCTTAGAAATTCTAAGAAACACAATCTGTATCAAAGCAGATCCATTTTGCAAGGAATGATTTCTCTCAATAAGAACTTTAGAAGTAATTATGACAGTAAGAAGCATGGACAGTCTAACAGCAGAGGCAACTTAAATAACTCCAGAGCAGTTGGCACTAGAACAGAATACTTGGAATGACACCAAGCTTAACCAAGTCCAGCATATGTCCAGAGTGTTAAGTGTTTCAGTTACTGTAGCATTCTGGGTGAGAAATTGGTTGCTGAAATCTTAAGACAGTGGCTCTCAATCTTGGCTGCACATTGAATTCACCTGTAGGGTTTTAAAGCATCCCGAATGGTAATAACATGAAGCCAAACTCGAGAACTAGTTCTGCATCTGCTATACAAAGATCTGATTGACTGGTCAGATGCTGGTAGAACAGAACAAGTAAAAGATTAAGAATTTGAAACCAATTTAACATGTATTGTTATTGAAACATAAATAAATAAAAAGGCCTAGACCAGCCTGGGCAACATGGTGAAACCCCATCTCTACAAAAAATTTCTGGTTAGCCAGGCATGGTAATGCACGCCTGTAGTCCCAGCTGCTCAGAAGGCTGAGGTGGGAGGATCACTTGAGCCTTGGAGGTCAAGGCTGCAGTTAGTCATGATCATGCCACTGTACTCCAGCCTGGGCAACAGTGAGACCATCTAAAAAAAAAAAAGAAATCCTTCCATTGAATGGAAACTTAAAAAAGTCCTTCATAAGATCATGGCATTAGCTACTTTAACAAAATAGTGTAAGAACATTGGCTCTGAGTAAAAGTGACTTCTCTACCAGTTGTGAATGTTATTATGCTGATAAAACTGCCAAGATATATTTGATAGGCAGGGATTAAACTCATGGTTTGTCAATGGCGTTTTTTTTTTTTTTAGTTTTATTCTTAAGAGATGTTAAGAGGTATTCATATTTGTTTCCTTTTGTGGTTTTAATGAAGACAATGTGTAAAGAATGTAATACTGTTATGTGTACGTTAAATATTGGTAAATACTAATTAATTTCTTCATTTGTAGACTTGTTTTGCAATGGCATATATTTTTACTTAGAAGAATACCAGTTTAGGTGAGGCATGGTGGTTTATGCCTGTAATCCTAGCACTTTGGGAGGCCAAGGCAGGTGGATCAAGAGGTGGGGAGATCAAGACCATCCTGGCCAACATGGTGAAACCCCACCTCTACTAAAAATAGGCCGAGGCAGGAGAATCGCTTGAACTGGGAGGTGGAGGTTGCAGTGAACTAAGATTGAACCACTGTGCACCAGCCTGGTGACAGAGCAAGACTCTGTCTTAAAAAAACAAAACAAAACACCAATTTAGGCTGGGTGCGGTGGCTCATACCTGTAATCCCAGTACTTTGGGAGGCTGAGGTGGGTGGATCTCTTGAGGTAAGGAGTTTGCCTGGCCAGCATAGTGAAACCACTTTACTAAAACTTCAAAAATTAGCCAGCCTGGTGATAGGTGCCTGTAATCCCAGCTACTGGAGAGGCCGAGACTTGATAATTACTTAAACTTGGGAGATGGAGGTTGCAGTGAGTAGAGATTGTACCACTCACTCCAGCCTGGGCAACAGTGATACTGTGTCTCAAAAAAAAAAAAAAAAAAAAAAAATTAAAATGTTGCTGGTATTATATCCAACCTACTCTGGATAAATTTTCCAGTAGGGCATCTGAAATTACTTTGGCAAAACCAAAACAGGTTATCAATATACCAAGGATATTAAGTAGTTTTAATGCAACTACAGTATTACTTTTTTACTGGGAGAAAAATACTAGCAGAGCCTGCTACTCCAGGCACATTAGGTAGTTTTATGCAACTGTAGTGTTAAAGTAAGAGTTTTATTGGAAGAAAAAAAAGCTCTACATTGTCAGAACTTGCTGCTCCAGACCACTCTATTTTTTTTTAACACAAGAGACTGGTAAAAATGATGCAGGGGCTGAATGAAAAGCCAGCTCTGCCCCAGTGGTTCTCTAGCTAGTTGAGCATGCTTGTTACCTGCAGGACTAACATCTCTGGGCTCCACCGTTTGTTTATTCAATAAGTTTACTGTGGCACACAAGAAGTTACACTTTATAAGTTCCCCTGTGATGCTGCTGTTCTACTTATGGAAACCACACTTGAAGTATTTCTACAATTCAGCTCTACATTGCTGCAAAAGAAAAAAGTCAGTGAAGATTTACCAAGAGTAACAGTGTATGGGACTTCACATCAGTTTTCCTTCTTGAAATTGTTAGTTTGATCCCTCTGGTTGTTCTTTTGTTGTAAACATTTTCTATAATTAGGAAATGACATTTAAGAGTGAGAAAGGTTTATATATATATGAGCCATTCATTGTGTTTGGTGTTTTACAGAACTTTACATACTGTGTATATTTCATTCTGTACAGTTTTAAAGTGATTCATCATGATTTGCAGGCTTTTTATCAGATTACAAAAAAATCAGCCTTAAGCATTTGCTTGGTAAAGTTTCTTAAGATTAGGTTTATAATACAACCATCTGTAATGTATCTCTCATTTAAGGTTGTGGGCCATAAAATTCATTAACTAGATAAATACATTGTGGACAGCATCCTCACTACCCTTCCCCTTCTCTACTCACAAAGAACCACGATACACTGGAATGTTTTTCTTTGGAATCCTCTTTCTACTCTTGTATTAAAATTCCCCCCCACTTAATGATTATGTTCAAAATAAACAACTGCATCACCATTACTTCCTGTCTTTTGCTTCTGTTGTACTATATTTGGAATGTAGATGTACTTGGGAAAGTCAGACTAGATCAGAGTTACTCTTAAGTTTTGAAAATTAATGTCTTAGAAGAAACTCATTCATGTTTGCAACTTCATCTGTTTAGTGTTGAAAGACGGACATTATCACACACTGAGCATTTCTCAATAACGAAAATGAAATAAATAAATAAAAGAAAGATGGACAAAAGGAATCCTTGCCATGTTTCACATTTAACAACATTCATCCACTTTAATGCATAAAACCCTTTTAAATCAGTGTCAACCAGGAAAATTCATGTCAGAAAAAATGGAATGAGAGCAAATATTCTATATTCAGAACATCTGAGAAACATTTCTGACTGTTACAAAAGTTTATTTAACAAAAAGTCTAATAGGAAAATGTACATGACCTAATTTTTACATCATAGTAAAACAGGCCCTATGGAGAGAGGACGTGGGTTTCTCCGCTGAACAGCCATTATACTCGTTCCAAGGCTTCTAACATGATGATACTATTTCCTCGTATTACCTAAGAAAAAGAAAAGTAAATTTGAAAAGAACAACTCATGTCACAGACATATCAACGATGATCTAAGAATTTTCACCACGGCCGGGCATGGTGGCTCACGCCTGTAATCCAAGCACTTTGGAGGCCAAGGTGGGCGGATCACCTGAGGTCGGGAGTTCAAGACCAGTCTGACCAACATGGTGAAACCCCGTCTTTATTAAAAAGGAAAAAAAAAAAGAAAAAAAGAATTTTCACCAAATCATTAATGGTTTTTCAATATTACATGTTGGTTTTTAAAGCTCTGTTCAAGCAACAGGGACACCAAACACAACTCTAAGCCCTTTATAAGACAGACATCTTCTAGATTGAAGGCTAACAATTAGCTTTATGAGATTCTAATGTCAGGTCTCCAATGACTAATTTCACCTTTTTTTTTGGAGACAGTCTCACTCTGTTGCCCAGGCTACAGTCTAGGGGCACAATCTAGGCTCTATGCAGCCTCTGCCACCTGGGTTCAAGTGATTCAAGGCTGACTCCCAAGTAGCTGGGATGACAGGAGCCCCCTCCCATGCCCAGCTAATTTTTGTATTTTTAGTAGAGACAGGGTTTCACCATGTAGGCCAGGCTGGTCTCAAACTCCTGACTTCAAGTGATCTGCTTGCCTCGGCCTCCTGAGATGCTGGGATTGCAGGCGAGAGGTGCTGTGCCTGGCCCTAATTTCACCTTCTAAAATGCAGGACTCAAATTTAAATGCCCATCCCTGACTCTATGGGATCTAAAAAATTAATGAGAAAAATACATACAGTAGAGTATGTTAGGTACAGTTTGGAGGTATAAGATCACTTAAGGAACAAACCAGGATGGGAAATCGTGAAAGGCATGCTCTAGGAAAATGACATTTCACCTGGGTCATGGAAACTGAGTACAATTTTGAAAAGGAGATAGGAAACTTTAGAACTAAGATAAAGTATAAGAGGATAAGGAAGTAATCTAATTTGAATGCACTAAAAAGTTCATGAAGAGAAGCAGGAAACAAAGATAGTTGGCATTCAATCTTGGAAAGCTTCAAATGCCAATCAGTGTTTGGAGGACATCAGGAACTAACAATGAGCCAGTGAGTCACATTTGGGGGAATGACAATCCTAAGTGTCCTGGCAACAAGATATTATATAAATACACCAAAGTTTGAGTAGGACAGAATCTAGAGGCAGAAAGAGAAGTTAAAAAGAAAGGGCCCAAGAGAATAGTGCTTGACCCAGTAGACAAGTCATAAATTAAGAATACTTATCTGGGCCTGGTGAGGTGGCTCACACCTATAATTCCAGCACTTTGGAAGACCAAGGCGGGTGGATCACCGGAGGTCGGGAGTTGGAGACCAGCCTGATCAACATAGAGAAACCCTATCTCTACTAAAAATTCAGTATTAGCCACGTGTAGTGGCACATGTCCATAATCCCAGCTACTTGGGAGGCTGAGACAGGAGAATCACTTGAACCTGGGTGGCAGAGGCTGCAGTGAACTGAGATAGTGCCATTGCACTCCAGCCTGGGTGATAAGAGTAAACTCCGTCTCAAAACAAAAACAAAAAAAAAACAAACTTATCAGAGTATAGCTGAATCAGCTGGTAAATGAATTCAAGAAGGCTACGGGACTGAAAACAAGAAGTCCCTGATAGATAGTAGATCACAATAATTGATAGATCACCTGTAAGTCAAGTAGAATTGGATAGGTGAATGGAGGGGTAGGGGAGGTAGAGGATAGGTAATAATTTGAGGTGTTTATTAGAAATGGAGGCATTCTAAAAAGATTCAAAATGGAGCTATGCTTATAGGCAGCTAGAGTACAAGTAGTTGTAACTTGTTCTTTTCTCCCTGTATCATGCTTGTTTTATTTACAAATACACTATGATCTATCGTGTTCTCCATGCAAATGTAAATGTTATGAGGGCAGGACTTTGGTGCAAAATCCCAGTGTCAAAAACAGTAGCAGGCACACAGAGGGCTCAAGTGCCTGCTAAATATTAATAAAAGAACTCACATGTGATTACTGCAGCTGACAGAATAGAAGGGAACACAATTGGTAGCAAAAGTGTCTTGGACTCTGGTAGCCAATTATCAGCAACCAATACGATAAGGTAGCAAGGAGCAGATTTAAAAGAGAATGGCTGGGCGTGGTGGCTCCCACCTGTAATCTCAGGCCCAGGCTCAGCCCAGTTCGAGACCTGCCTGGGCAACATGGCAAAATCCTATCGCTATAAAAACTACAAAAATTAGCCAAGTGTGGTAGTGCACACCTGTGGTTCCAGCTACTTGGGAGGCTGAGGTGGGAGGATAAACTGAGCCTAGGGAGGTTGAGGCTGCAGTAAGCTCTATGCTATTGCACTCCGGCCTGGGTGACAGAGTGAGACCTGTCTCAAAACAGTAACAAAATCCAATAAGAACAATGCCCTTCTTTCTCCCTCCTCACCAAAAAAAAAAAAAAAAAAAAAAAAAAAAAAAAAAAAAAAAAAAAAAAAAAAGCAGCACAATGCCCTAAAAATGACAGTGGCAACTGAAGGGGTCTAAAGATTCATACTCTTCCTGTAAGTTAAGAATAGATCTCCTCTCCGTTTTTTTGACTGGGGCTAGGTATGCTGACCAGGCTGCAGTGCAGCGGCTATTCACAGGCACAATCAGGGCACAATGAAGCCTCAAGCTCCTAGGCTCAAATGGTTCTCTTGCCTCAGCCTCTTGAGTAGCTGGGACTACAGGTGCACATCACCATGCCCAGCATAAACCAGGAGTGGAAACATGCTTACCTAGTTATCAGAATTTTATTTTCATTTTAATGAATTTTTTTGAGACAGGGTCTTGCTCTATTACCCAAGATGGAATGCAGTGGCTCAATCACAGCTAACTGCAGCCTTGACCTCCTGGGCCCAAGTGATCCTCCCACTTCAGCCTTTTAAGTAGCTGAGACCAGAAGCATAAGCCACTAAGCCAGGCTAATTTTTAAATTTTCTGTTGACAGGGTCTCACCATGTTGCCCAGGCTGATCTCAAACTCCTAGTCTCAAGTGATCCTCCTGCCTTGGCCTCTCAAAGTGCTGGGATTACAGGTGTGAGCCACTGACCTGGCCAGTTATCAGAATTTTAAATTGCCCATTTCTGGCAACAGATGTTGAACATCATATCTTACTGGCCAAAGCAAGAAAAGCTAGCCTTCCTTCCTAGCTTCCTGCTACATCTATATACTTCTTTGTCTTGTCATATAATATTTAGAAAATAAGGCTAGATGGTGAACTTTGTCCTTCCTTATCTATGGTCCAAAAACATGAAATGTATAATTCCAGAAACAGACAATTCCTAAGTTTTACATTGCATGATGTTCTGAGTAGTGTGATAATATCTCATACTGTCCCTGAACATGGATTATCCCTTTGTCTAGCATCTCCATGCTGCCCATTCATTCATCAGTTATCTCAGTTTTCCAATTGACTGTGTGGTATCAAAGGGTTACTTGTGTTCAAGAAAACAGTCAAGGTTTACTTAGTAATAGCCTGAAAGTATAAGAGCAGTGATGCTGGCAATATGGATAGGCCAAAGAGAAGCTGAAAAGTGTTTCCTTTAAGTGAAATGGTACAAGTTCTTGATTTAATAAGGAAAGAAAAAAATAGTACGAGACAGCTAAGATTTACGGTAAGGATGAATCTTCTATCTATGAGATTGTGAAGAAGTAAAAAGAAATTCGTGCTTAGGGTTCAGTACTATCTGTGGTTTCTGGTACCCACTCTGAGGATAAAGGACCACTATAGTGCCCTTCCTCTTTCGTCACTGTGTTTGAGGCTTAATTCTCCAAATCAAACTCGAACTATCAGGTCCAATTCTATAGTGCTCCTTTTGTTGTGCTTCAGCGATGCTACAGAAGTACAACTCTAGCAAAAGTGCCTGAACTATGTAATATAATAAAATAAAACTCTAGGGATGTCTCAGAAGGTAGCTGAGATTTATGATGGATCAGGTAACTATCCAACTGACAGGTTAAAAACAAACTAACTCCGGAAAACGCACACATCCTCTTTCTTTTTGAGTGAGGATCTTGCTTTGTCACACAGACTGAAGTGCAGTGGTGTGATCTCAGCTTACTGCATCTTCGACTTCCTAGGTTCAAGTGATCTTTCTGTCTCAATCTCCTGAGTAGCTGAGACTACAGGTGCACACCACCATGCCTGGCTAATTTTCTAAAATTTTTTGTAGAGATGAGATCTCACTATGTTGCCCAGGCTGATCTTGAACTCCTGGGCTCAAGGGATCCTCCTGCTTCAGCCTCTCAAAGCACCTTTCAAAGCATTGGAATTACAGGTGTGAGCCATTGTGCCCAGCCAACACATACGTATCTGCAATAAAACAGTATTAAGTAATTTCAATGGCCTCAATGGATCACTGACTTGGATAAGGTAATAATGAAGCCAACTGTCCTTTGTCAAACAACTTTTAACAAAATGAACAAAATCTTAACCTATTTGTTTCCCTTCTTCCAACTTTAGCAAAAAGTTCATCTCTGTTCTTGCCTTTTTTTTTTCCTTAGAGACAGCGTTGCTCCTGTTGTTCTTGTTGCCTACAGTGAAGTGCAATGATGTGATTTCCGCCTCCCAGATTCAAGTGATTCTCCTGCCTCAGCCTCGAGTAGCTGGGATTACAGGCATTCGCCACCATGACCAGCCAATTTTTTTTATTTTCAGTAGAAACGGAGTTTCTCCATGTTGGTCAGGTTGGTCCTGAACTCTCAACCTCAGGTGATTCACCTGCCTTGGCCTCTCAGAGTACTGGGATTACAGGCGCGAGCCACCACGCCAGGCCGTGTTCTTGCCCTTTAGGTGCCAAATGCTTCCTGAATTCTTTTCAGCAAATTTCTTGGGATGACTAAAAACCTAATCTACCTTCTTTTTTTTTTCAGACGGAGTTTCGCTGTTGTTACCCAGACTGGAGTGCAATGGCACAATCTTGGCTCACTGCAACCCCTGTCTTCTGGGTTCAAGCAATTCTCCTGCGTCAGCCTCCCGAGTAGCTGGGACTACAGGTGTGCACCACCATGCCCAGCTAATTTTTGTATTTTTAGTAGAGGTGGGGCTTCACCATGTTGACCAGGATGGTCTCGATCTCTTGACCTCATGATCCACCCGCCTCAGCCTCCCAAAGTGCTGGGATTATAGGCATGAGCCACCGCGCCCGGCCATCTACCTTCTATTAGAACGAAGATTTATTTGTAAAAATAAAGGTTTAGAGGAAAATCTCGGGGTACCTAGAAAGTGTTTTTATAAGGACTTGGCTACTAATGATGCTGGCAGCCTATTCAACAGAAGCTCACAAGGGAATATACCTGAAAGACAAGTAAACTTACTTTCTTACAATGTGGTATCTGGAGACTCTAAATTGTTTTTTCAGTCATGACTATTGATTTGCTTTTGAAAATATAGTAATGAAAAAGTATCTGAATTAAGTAATAACCCAAACCTTGGGAAGAATGGTTTGTAAAAAATTAAACAGGCAGAGATGTCAAAATAGGTCTATCTTCAACTCTACTGCTCAAACTTGAGAATCACTTGAACCCCGCAGGCAGAGGTTGCAGTGAGCTGAGATCACACCACTGCACTTCAGCCTGGGCGACAAGAGCAAGACTGTCTCAGGAAAAAAAAAAAAAAAAAGTTAATAAATCAAGGCTAATAACTAGCAACTCTTACCACCCCTTGGTGGTGCTCAATAATTTGCTAAAAGTTAAGTTGTCCTTTTTGGTTCACCTTTTTCAAGAACTTTGGGCTTACCACTTTATTAGGTATGTTGTCCTGTGTTAGACAAAGAGGGACTTAAAGTCTGGGTCTTGCCAACAATTATCAAAACTCTTCTTCAGCTGGGCAAGGTGGCTAACACGTATAATCTTAGCACTTTGGGAGGCCAAGGCAGGCCGACTGCCAGGCAGACTGCCTGAGTTCAGGAGTTCGAGACCAGCCTGGGCAACGTGGGGAAACCCCGTCTCTACTAAAAATACAAAAAAATTAGCCTGGCATGGTGGCACGTTCCTGTAGTCCCAGCTACTTGGGAGGCTGAGACAGGAGAATCACTTGAACCTGGGAGGCAGAGGTTGCAGTGAGCTAAGATTGTACCACTGCATTCTAGCCTGGGCAACAGAGTTAGACTGTCAAAAAAAAAAAAAAGAAGAAGAAAAAGAAAAAAACTATTTTTCAGCAATCACTAAAACTACAGCCCAATGAATGTAGGAATGTTTAATCCTATCAGAGCTCAGTATTTGCCTTTTGTCTGTTTTGTTTTTTCCTTTCTCATGTGAATGTCATTGCGATTATCCCTTATAACTTTTACCTTGGCTACTTTAAAATTTTGGGTGTGGTAAACCAGAAAATCCAGGTTAATTATGTATATAAATAAAATCAGAAAGTGTGATCTGTGGACTGGCAGATCTGCATTAGGCATTAGCAGAAATGCAAAACCTTAATTAAGTTCCGCCCCATACCTACTGAAGTTAGAATCTGCATTTTAACAAGATTCTCTGGGGATTCATATACACGTTGTTTCAGAACTACTTGTCTAATGAGGGACCAACTATGAGCCTCTATCGTAGAATAAAGCTCAAGAAGGATTTTCAACAGCTATTTCAAGCCCTAGGACCTTAGGTTCTGTATAGTTGAGATCTTACCTATAGGTAACCAGGATATTACCACAGCTGAATAACCGCCTCATGTTCAACTAAAAAGGAGACGGAAAATCTAATCTTGCCTGTTATTTGCCATTTCTGGGGGTTACTAAATAGGAAAGTTAATACATATTCCAAAAGGAAAATGAAGTCTCCAAGAGAAATCTTGTATCTTTACTTACCACCATTCCAATATTGTTCTGTTGTCCACTAGTCGCCATCTCCACACATTCATCTATCACAAGATTCATAAAGGGATCAAATCCCCGCAATATTCCTTGGACATGTCTGCCACCATTTAATTTCACTAATAAAAATGGAAAAAGATGTTTTAGAAAAATACAAGTGTTTGAGATGTTTGACGCACTATCCTTACTGTATGCCAAGCATTGGATTAAACATTTTTGTATTAACTTCCGCATTTTAATTTATAAGAATCCTAAAATGTAGTATTATCCTTACTTTACAGGATAGAATCAAACTTTAGAGCTTTTATTTAATTATTTATTGAGATGGAAGGTCACTCTGTTGCCAGGCTGGAGTGGTGCAGTGGTGCAATCTAGGCCCACTGTGACCTCTGCCGCCTAGGTTCAAGCAATTCTCCTGTCTCAGCCTCCTAAGTAGCTGGGACTAAAGGTACATGCCACCATGACTGGCTAATTTTTGTATTCTTTAGTAGAGGCGGGGTTTGGTCAGGCTGGCCTCAAATTCCTGACCTCAGGTAATCCACCCACCTCAGCCTCCTAAAATGCTGGGCTTACAGGCATGAGCCTAGCAGCTTTTATTTTTTTATTTTTTCAGAGATGGCTGCGGGGGTGGGGGGTGGCAGGCTCCCTATGTTGCCCTGGCTGGTCTTTAACTCCCGAGCTCAAGGGATCCTACCACTCTGGCCTCCCAAAGTGCTGTGATTACAGAGGTAAGCCACTGTGCCCAAGCTTTTAAGTAACTGCATTCACCGTTATACAGCTACTGTATGGTAGAAGTGAGAGTCAAGCTAAAGGCTGCTTACCTCTAATGCTCATGGTTTTGTCCCCTACTACTTCAAGCACTGTGTGGGTCAGATTTTTAGTTAAACTGAACAAATTCCTACATATTCCCAAGAAACAAAATAATTCTTCCTTATCTAAGTCTTTTGTAGCTTATTTAAAGGAAAAAAGGTTGAGAAATCCTATTAATTTTGTTAAAGTGAGGAAGGGCTTATGTAATATCAAGTCTGAAGTGCTATTAAATTCATTAAATATCAGAAATTAGGTAAATAAAATTGTTTAGTTAGGATTAAGTAATCTGTTTAATTAATGGACGTGAATTAGAGGTCCTGTGTGCTTTAAATTTTTATAAAGTTGTAAAAAACCCAAAACAACAAACTTACATGATAACTTCTTGTCCATAAATCTGAAAAAGCAAAAGGGCAAAGATTATATAACCAATTAAAAAAATTTAAGCATAAACAAGTATATAAACAGGTATAGTTAAAATAATTTGCTAAAATTTATACAATGGGAATAATGACATCTAAAATAGTAAAAAATATTGTACTACTGTGAAGAGTGAGGGAATAGGGCAAGGTAGCTCATGCCTGTAATCCCAGCACTTTAGGAGGCTGAGGTGGGTGAACTGCTTAAGCTCAGCAGTGGAGACCAGCCTGAGCAACATGGTGAAACCCCATCTCTACCAAAAATACAAAAATTAACTGGGAGTGGTGGCATGTGCCAATGGTTCCAGCTACTTGGGAGGCTGAGGTCGGAGGATCACTGGAACCTGTGAAGTTGAGGCTGCAGTGAGTCACTGCACTCCAGCTGGGCAATAGAGCAAAACCCTGTTTCAGGGGAAAAAAAGGTTACCTAAATTAGACATTCTACAAAGCAAAGTAATTTGGGAAGGGGAAAGACAATAAAAAGGAAACATATTTAGACTGTGTTAATCTACATTAAGTGGAGTCTTTATACTAATGTGAATTACAAAAACATTCTTATTGTTCAATACTATGTTGTTTCATTGACCTCAGTTTCTTTACTTCTTTCTTTCTTTTTTTTTTTTTTAAAGAGATAGTGTCTCATTATGTTGCCCAGGCTGGTCTTGAATTCCTGGCCTCAAAAAACATGCTTCCCCTCAGTCTCCCAAAGTGCCGCTGAGATTACACAGGCTACACAGGCGTAAGCTACCTCATCTGGTCTCATTAACCTAATTTTCAATAATTGGGTTTTACAGTCATAACAGAAAAACAAAGACTTGTTTACATTTGATTATTTCCAAAACAAAGTTGTAAAGACAGCAAACAGTAAACAAACCACAGCGAATTCAACAGGTATTTTATATTCGAGATAAAAAGGAGTGTTCTTTTATTTAATATGAAAGCATCAAGCATAAATGTTCAGGGTAGTCCTCAACATTTAAGTATATTTTAGTGTAATAAATGCATATTGAAACTTCAAACAATATGAATTAAGGAAAATTCCATTTTAGTGGAATATGAGACTAAGCCATGCAGTCAAATCAGTTTTTAACCTCTTCCATTTATAGGCCAGAAAACATGAAATTTCATCCAGTTTTAAAAATTTCATTCAAATTTTAAAATATAAAAAAATGGGAAAAAATTTTAGCATATGGGCTGGAAAGTGGGCACTTACTCAATTTTAATGTACAGAATAATCATGGAAGAATTCAAATATAAAACAGGGAGCATGACTGAAGGAGGGAGTAGATACATTTACAAGTAAAAATGTATTTATGAAGTATGATGAACAAGACTATATTTCAATAAGATATATAAAAGCATAGCAAATATAACATTCAAGGTCTTATTCAATCTTTACAAGGATGTTGCAATTATGGTCTAGTATTACCACCATTTTACAGATGGAAAATTAGGTATGCAAAGGTTAAGTAAATTGTCTGAAGTCACACAGCAAGTGTGAGCAAATACAAATAGTTCAGTTTGACTGGAGAATGGAACCCTTGCGTATTCGTGGCTGTAAGGTTTGGTGTTTGAATGTTGGGTGGGTTAAATATAGACTCAATTTTGCATATCGTGATAAATTATTAAAGCAGTCACTGGGAAGACTACTGTGGCAGCAAATTTTAAAAAGTGGCAGTGAAGAATACAGTTAAGCCAGGGCATCTCAACTTCTGCACTACTGAAATTTGTGACTAGATAATTTTGTACTGTTGGGGGCAGTCCAATAATCGGTAGGAAGTTTAGCAGCATCTGTGTCTACTCACTAGAAGTCAGTAGCACCAGATCTCCTACTCCCTCATTTAAAAACCAGAGTGGCCAGGCAAAATGGCTCACGCCTGTAACCCCAGCACTTTGGTAGGCCGAGGTGGGCGGATCACAAGGTCAGGAGTTCAAGACCAGCTTGACCAACATGGCGAAATCCCATCTCTACTAAAAATACAAAAATTAGCCGGGTGTGGTGGCAGGCGCCTGTAATCCCAGCTATTCCGGAGGCTGAGGCAGGAGAATCGATTGATCCTAGGAGGTTCAGACTGCAGTGAGCTGAGATCATGCCACTGCACTCCAGCCTGGGTGACAGAGCAAGACTCCATCTCAACCCCCCCCACAAAAACCCAAACGCCAAAACCAAACCAACCAACCAAACAAACAAAAAAAGAACCACTAAGCCAGGAGGATGGCATAAAGGTATAAAAGAAGATGCTATCTTTGAGAAAGTAGAGGAAGAAAAAATTTGAAAGTCATTTTGGCAGCAGATTTGACGGGATTGCACAATCCATGAAACCTATGGATGAGAAGAGAAAGGTATTAAAACTAGCTTCCTTCTCTGAAATTTTCAAAAACTATGTTATCAATCAGAAAGGAAATCTTAGATTACAAGTAGAGAATGGTCCTTTTGTTAAAAAAAAAAGTCACCATTTCAGCAGTCTCTGATGAATCGAGGATATTTAGGTCACCAGCTCACCATAATTTTCAGAGAAACATTTTCACGACAATAATTTCTAAGTAAGTTCTATTTTCCTTGTTGGACTTATGCTTTAATAATTAATTTCTTAACAGACCTAACTAAAATATAAACGCAAGGAGTTTTCACACAAAGATGGCTTTGATACAAATGCACCTTTAAAAGCAAAAATATTATTATTATTTTTTGAAAAAGAGTTTTGCTCTTGTTGCCCAGGCTGGCGTGCAATGGCACGATCTTGGCTCACTGCAACTGCAACCTCCGCCTCTCGGATTCTAGCAATTCTCCTGCCTCAGGGATTACAGGCCGCGTCGTCACACCTGGCCTCAAACTCCTGACCTCAGGTGATCCACCCTCCTCGGCCTCCCAACGTGCCCGGCCGCAAAATTATTAAATAGTAATTTTTCCTTATGTCTAACTTCTGTGGGCCTGGTGACAAATGAACTATACACAAAGCCAACCACACGCTATGCCAGAGAAAACTGATCCCTGTAACGATTCTGCACCCTTTGTGCAATTCAGCTACTACATGTAGAATTCCAGCATCAAGGAGTATAAACAAAACAGAAACGTACTCAGGAAACACAGAACATGTTAAGTCCTGTCAAGAAGTATATTTGAAGAGTTTAAAGCTTTACGTTGAGTCCTACCTGAAGTAAGGCTCTGCTACTTTTGATTTTACCGGGTGTATAGAAAAAAACTTCAAAACACTAGCCTTCTCTGATTAGAAAAAAGTTAACATTAAAAAAAAAGGAAAAATAAATATTCTTACATAGTTTTAACATCAGAGCAAGATAACACACGACATTCAAACTCAACGTAAAAGAAGGCAAGAAAAAGGAATGAGGTTTCTAAGCAAAAGCTCAAAGAAACAGCTACAAACACATTCTCTAAAGTTAAAGTGGCTTTTGGAATCTGATGCCTCACGGAGTTTTTAAAACACTTCCATTCCAGCCCCTCTTTAGTTCCTCTCCAGAATTACCCCCTCTAGCCATCTTTCTAGAACCGGATGCTATTCGAGATGTTCAACAAAAGGTGGCATTCAAGATCTTCAAGGAACCAGGGAGGGAGAGAGCGGGGTGACCAGAGACCCGACCACAGTACCGGGAGGCGGGTCGGCCGGAAGGAGGTGCGGTGCTGCCGGCGGTAACCACGCCGACGCGCTAGCTCTGCGCGAGCTTCACGTCCCAAGCGCGGGAGGCTGGCCGAGGTCCCGGCGACCTCGGACCCGAAGAAATGAGGTGGTGGCTCAAGTCATTCGGTGAATGGGGAGGGAACAAAGGGACTCGGGAGACTCATAGAAGCGACCGTTTCGGTTTGGTTCGCAAACAATACTTACTTTTTCAACTCGGGAGGGTGAGCTTTGCTCATGATGTCTACTCCGCGGGCACACAGAGGCCTTGGAATGGAATGCACGGCCTACTCTACGCTCCCGCGGTACCGGCGTCTTGCGTCTAGCGTCACCAACCTCGTTAGCCAATCGATTGTCGGCAGTTTTTACATTTCACCTCGCGATACCTGAGAGTCTCGGTCAACGTTGAGCTTCCGGTTGCGCCGTCAGCGATTGGCCCGGACGGAGGGGTGGGTCCTCTAGGCACCTTCCTGAATTCCGTTTTCTTTGTGCAAAATTTAGAAAACAAGTACTCTGTCTGTGGAACTCCCCCCACCCCAAAACCAAACCAAACCAAACAACAAAAAAACCGCCGGGTGCCGTAAACTCCAGAACTTTGGAAGGCTCTCTTGAGCCCAGGAGTTCGAGACCAGCCTGGGCAACGTAGTGAGACACCCCCCCCCCCACCTTCACTATTTAAAAAATAAAACTGGGATGACGGTCCCGTCTCTAGCTTCTGGGCAAACCCGGCCAATCCCGTATGTCTGTGGATCCTATCGCTTATTTTCTTCATATATATCGAATGATAACGAGCCCTAGAGGAATGGACCCCTGTATTTCTTTGGCAGGTATCCTTATAGCACACTGTCAGATCAAGCCTAGGGTTCCAGCAAAATGTAAATTAGTGGCCTCTGCACCACTGGAGGGTAAGGTGATTGGGCCTGTCTCTAAGAATTTCAATCAGTTTCCGACGGGTGATCTTGCAAATAATTTTTTTTTTTTTTTTTTTGAGATGAGGTCACCCAGGCTGGAATGGATGGTGTGATCATGGCTCACTGCAACATCGAACTCCTGGCCTCAAGTGATTCTCCCACCTCAGCCTCCTGAGCTGTTGAGACTACAGGTACATGCCATTGTGCCCAGCTAATGCGTATGTGTGTGTGTGTGTGTGTGTGTGTGTGTATATATATATATATATATATATATATACTTTTTTTTTTTTTTTTTGTAGAAACGAGGTCTCGCTTTGTCGCCCAGGCTATTCTCCAATTCCTGGCCTTAAATGATCCTCCTGACCCTGGCTCCCAAAGCGTTGGTATTACAGGCATGGGCCAGCATGCCTGGCAATCCTGCAATTTTTCAAACACTGCCTCCAAACTCGCTGATGTGCTATCGCTTCTGTATATAAAATTGTGAAGTGCAGCATACAAACATTTTCTAATATAAGGCATTTCTTTTTCATGTCAAGATGTGTAAAAAGTGGTGTCTGACTTGTTCCCAGTTGTTACATTATCCTAAAGTAGGAGAATCCACATATCGTAAAAGACTAAACCAAAATAGAATGTGTTGTTGATTTTAAATAGGGGATGGTTCTCAAAAATTCAGTTCATTCCTGATATTCTGGAATGGCTCTATTTAAATACCAATGATAGTAAAGACTTAAACTCATCACATATTTTGCACTCTCTTAGTACTCAAAATCCTAGACACTTAATTTTTTCTAGCAGGGTCATAGCTTTGTACCTTTCCTGCCACTTGCTATTAGTGTTTAGTGAAAGCAAGAGACCGGACATAATGAATTTCTCTTTTTTAGCCTCATAGTTTCTTTTCTACACTAATGAACTTCAAGTCACAATAACCTAGCCTCCTCTCAAAGTTTTTCCCAAGGAAAGAGTTCTGCATCCGAACCACAACAAATAATGTAATTTCCACTCTTCTGAACATGCTAAACTCATTTAACCTGTTAAAAGAAGCATACTGAGGAAGTTATATATTCACTACCCAGATATAAGGAAATAAAACACAATAGTGGGGAGAAAATTAAACCTTATTTATTTAAAAAATCAAACCGCTAGGAAAATATATCACAGCCTGGAAACAGCAAGTGGACAGGCTATATTATCATTTCAAGTAATAAGCTGGTGAAAATACAGTGAGGTTGCTATCAAAACAATAAGGTGTCATGCCAGGGCAGGAACACTGCAAGTTGCAAAAGCCCGAGGCAAAAGTGGAATTTGGTAATGGGGGCTCCCTCTCTTTTGCTCTAAGGGAGTCGGTCATCCTAGCCCAAGTTGGTTACTTTTTCTCCCTCGAATTTCCTGTTGCCAGGAGTTTGTCTCAATTGGGCTCTGTTAACTCAGGGGGCTAAGTAGGCAATGCTAGGTTTAGGCTTTTGTTCCATCTGTTCTGTAAAAACCAGGCTTTTCCAAATCCAGTACTTTATAACTCTGTTATAATCAAGTAGCCAACTGGTCCTCTTTTATTCCCCTAGTATTCTTAGATACTAGTATATATCACAATCAAAATTCCTTTCTCTTCAAGGGGAAAGTGTTACTGCAAGATTGTCCTGTCATACTGGGGGCAGTGGCTCACACCTATAATCCCAGCACTTTAGGAGGCCAAGGCGGGTGGATCACCTGAGGTTGGGAGCTCGAGACCAGCTTGACCAACATGGAGAAACCCCGTCTCTACTAAAAATACAAAATTAGCCAGGCGTGGTGGCGCATGCCTGTAATCCCAGCTACTCGGGAGGCTGAGGCAGGAGATTCACTTGAATCCAGGAGGCAGAGTTTTCGGTGAGCCGAGATCGTGCCATTGCACTCCAGCCTGGGCAACAAGAGCGAACTCCATCTTAAAAAAAAAAAAAATTTCCTGTCGTCGTCATTTTGCTAGTCTCAGGGCCCATCAGCGAGTAATTATGCTTCTCATAATTAGTGAGTCATCACCTCTCATGTTTTTGCATGGCCCCCAGGCTGAAAGATGCAGCATGTAATAATTTTAAGAAATGTACATCCACATCTTGATGACCAGAAAAGGGGATCTACAAGGAGCCTTTCAAAGTTCTTATCCAAACTAGTCTCCCTCCCAATTCCACATCTTAAAATCAACTTGAATGCCCTTGTATGAATTACACAAAACCAAGAACACAAAGACTCAGAAAACTTTTTCCCTTCTAAGCTAGTGACCTCATGGATTTTGTTTCATAGCTTATGGAAAATGGTGTGGTGACACTTCCGGTAAACAGGATATTGGCAACAAAGAGAAAATCTCTCTCCTCGAACTCTACCAACTCTAACCTGCCAGGCTGTTGGTACCTGTGTAGTAAGAAGAGTCTGGTACCTTGGAGGGCTCTGGCTTATTAAAGGGAGATCCTTACTGCCAGGACAGGCACTGGCCACAGGAAATACAAACTCCAAAATTCTCCTGTAATGTCTCTGACCCAATTTAGCACCACTTTTTTCCATTTCATTTTTTAGGACTGAAATATAAAAGAACCAGTGTCCAGAGGCAAGTGACATACGCCTTATACTTGTGGCTGTCCTTAATTTCTTCATTCATAAACTTTGCTTAAAAGACTAAAATTCCCAATTCCTTATAAAAAATACATCCTTGCCCTCAGCCCCGATGGGCATTGGCAAACACTTTTATTTCCCCATGGATAAGAGAGCCTCCTTCATCTTCTTGGTCATAGTTGGGATAAGGTGCATGTGGTCATCCACACACTTGGTCACACAACTGTCCAGCTGCTGCTTCACCTGAAGCTCCTTACTCCCAGCATCTATTGAATCTTTGGCTTTGTCATTGCAATGCATGGTGCACCGAGCCAGGCGGTCCTGTGGCAAGAAGGAAGAAGGTAGAGAAAGCTGAGAGTAAGGCCTCCATTTACTGTGTGCTCATTATGTGCTCATTACAGGCTTGATATAGATTATCTTGATCAATTAAAGGGACACTGTAGTGTGATTGGCCAAGGTTTTTTTTTTTTTGAGACAGTGTCTCACTTTGTTGCCCAGGCTGAAGTGCTGTGCTACAGTGGCACAATTATGGTTTACTGCAGTCTCAACGTCCCAGGCTCAAGCTATCTTCCCACCTCAGCTCTCAAGTAGCTAGGACCACAGGCACATGCCACCACTCCTGGCTAATATTTTCTTAAAAAGATCTCTCTGTGTTGCCCAGGTTGGTCTTGAACTCCTGGGCTCAAGTGATCCTCCCTCCTCGGCCTCCCAAAGTGTTTGGATTATAGGTGTGAGCCACTGTGTTTGGCCTGCCAAGATTGTCTTGATTCAAACAAAAAGTGGGACCAGGAAGCAGGTGAATGACAGAATAAATTACACAGAAAGTTCTTCTAGGAAGTGAGAGGTCCCTAGAGGTTACTGTAAAACTTACAAACATCTTGATTCTTTAAAGTCTGTTCTACAGGAAAACATTCAATTCAACAAATATTATTGAGCATCTACTGTGTGCCAGGCACTCTTTTAAAAAATGTTAGGGAATACAGCAATGAGTAAAACAAAGTTCTTACCCTTACAAAACTTACATTCCAGTGAGAGGAAAGAGACAAAGTAAATGGAGATGTTGAGGAATTAGTTGGATATATGAATCTGGAGTTTATGAGTAAGGTCTGCTATACAGATATAAATGCAGGAGCTGGCTGGGCACAGTGTCTCACACCTGTAATGCCAGCAATTTAGGAGGCCGAGGCGGGTGGATCATGAGGTCAGGAGTTCAAGACCAGCCTGGCCAACATGGTGAAACCCCCATCTCTACTAAAAATACAAAAATTAGCTGGGCGTGGAGGTGGGCGCCTGTAATCCCAGCTACTTGGGAGGCTGAGGCAGGAGAATTGCTTGAACTGGAACCTGGGAGGCAGAGGTTGCAGTCAGCTGAGATTGCACACTACACTCCAGCCTGGGCTACAAAGCGAGACTCCTTCTCATTCATAAATAAATAAATAAAGGCAGGAGCTGTCAGCATAGAGATTATATTTAGAGCTATGAGGCTAGAGGAGACTAGAGAAGTAGTCAGAAAGGAGAAAAGAACCAAGGACAGCCCTGGGCACTCTGATGCTCAGAGGCTGGAGAGGGGAAGAGACAGCAAAGGAGGCCAAGAAAGGGGGGCCAACAGAATGCCAGGAGAGTGACACGTCCTGGTGACCAACTGAATAAAGTGCTTTAAGAAGGCAAGGGATCCACTGTGTCAATGATGTAGACAGAGTAAGATGACTCAGAAATGACCCCCGGATTCGTCCCCATGGAGATGAGTGGCAGGAGCAGTTCTGGCCCAGTGAAGAGTGTAAGTCCACCTGGAGAGGACTAAAAAGATCATGCAAGGAGGGTTATAGAGCAGTCCAAGAATCAAATTATCAAAGACTCCATCTATAAAATTAGCTGTCAAAAAGAACACAAAGAAACCCTTTGCGGTTCCATGATCTTGGAGAAGTTACTTCTCCATAATGGCAGTAATTTTGAAGAGTTTTGAATGGAAGAATGTAAAGTTGTATCACATTAGGTATAATTTTTCCATGTGGATGGAACCTCAGGCTATGAAAGGCTGGTTTGGAAGTGGGCTTGCTTGCCCCAGGCTCCAGAAACATATACTTAGAAGATGGGAGTAAAATGAAGTTGTAGATACTCTTTGCTCCAGAGAAGGAAAGAGGGAGCTCTTTTATTAACCTCAGAGGGGCTTGTGAGCCAGGAATTTGTGAGTCAGCAGTGATAATGATTCACATAAATGACTGCTCCTTACTGACAGAGAAGCTGCCATCTGGGTATAGCAAGTAGGGGCAGTCCTGGGTGAGTTTACAAGGCCACAAAATGGTGGAAGGGTGTTCCTCTAATCTGTACCTTTTCAAGGATATCCTACTCTCCTAGAGATTCTGCCATTGTAAAAATAAAATAAGATATGTTTTAGGAAACTTTATACTACACAGTATACATACTGTATTTGGTGGTTATGGGAAAAGAAACAAACGCCCTGTCTCCAACAGACTGCCTTTGGGCTCTTGGTCATTAACTCCCCTGGAAACGCCTTTTTACATCATTTTTTTTTCTTCAGACAGAGTCTCATTCTATTGCCCAGGCTGGAGTGCAGTGGCACGATCTCAGCTCACTGCAACCTCTGCCTCCTGGGTTCAAGGGATTCTCCTGCCTCAGCCTCCTGAGTAGCTGGGACTACAAGTGCATGCCACCATGTCCGGCTAATGTTTTGTGTTTTTAGTGGAGACAGGGTTTCACAGTGTTAAACAGGAGATCGATGATCTCAATCTCCTGACCCCGTTATCCACCCGTCTCGGCCTCCCAAAGTGCTAGGATACAGGCATGAGCCACTGTGCCCGACCACATCATTTCTATAGGAAAACATAGTTCAACTTAAGGCACTTGACTGCCAAGACTTTTCCCAAAATTTTAAACCCTTTGAAAACTGATTGGCCATCACCATCACAACTGTTAACAGAACCAAGACACTAAAGCCAAGAGTTTTGAACAAATGCTTGTCATAGCCTGCAAAAGTCTAGATCAAGGACTAGAGTGCTCTGTCTAGGATATTTCTTACCTGGAACTTCTCCAACTCACTGGTGACTAAAGCCTGGGCTTGAGCCAGAGGCGCATGGCAGCGCTCGATGCACTGGTGCACCTGCTGCATGGAGGCCTGGCTGTCCTCACAACAGCTGGCACTGCACCGGAACATGAGACCCTGGGGAGAAAGGGCAGGGTGAGGTGAGGTAGGAGAGCCTCTGGGGACAGAAATGGCTATGGAGCACTACAGAAGTTAGAAGGCCATGTGTATATTTGCATCTCCCTCTCCATCTTCTGCTTTTACCTTCCCTGAGAAGAGACTGCAGGACCTTAAGACCACCACTGGGGAAAATTATCCTCAGTGTCTAGTGTAGTGTTTCATGGTCTCCGTGCTGCTAACTCATTGGCACCTGTTGCACCGATGGTTGGGCGAACAGAGGTTCATCCGGATGGGTGAGGGTGGGGTGGATGAAGCCAAGTTCTGAAAACCAGGTGCCTCTTGCACAGGGTTCAGAGGTCAGCAACCTAGTAATCCACATTCCACCAGAGGGCAGCCGATCTACTAATCAATGACCCAAGGGGCACTACACTCTGTGAGGGAAGCGGGACCGACACGCACAGAGGCACTGCGGGGCTCAGAGCACAACAGTGTGGAAACCCCTGCTGTTTCTACACTGTGAAGCGGACATGATCTGGCCATTGGGGAGGCCAGGAGCCCTCGCCTTTCCGGTCTTTCACCTTGGCCGCGCCGCTGCTGGGCCTCTGGCCGCTCACCTGCGGAAGGGGCCGCAAGAGGGGGAAGGTGGCGGGGCGAGCGCCTGCCACTAGGGGCTTCCCACCTGCAGCCGGGAACGCGCCTGCCCCGTGCCAGAAGGGGCGGAAAACCGCCTCGCGCACGGCGAGGGCGCACAGATTTCATCCGATCCGCCAAAGCTTCCGTAGTCCTGTCAGAGGCCGCCGCGGCGACCCCAGGACCGCGCACACCGGGTCTGCAGGGACGCCGGCTGCGGTGCCAGGCGTCGCGTGGTGGCTGAGGGAGGGGCCCGGAATCCACCCGCTGAGAAGGGGGTCCCGGCTTGGCCCCCTCCCCGCTACCTGCATCTTCCGGATGTTCTCTTTCTCCAGACTCTTCACCATGGAGTCCACCGCTTCCTGCACCCGCAGCTGCTGCAGCTCCGCCATGGCGACCCCGCGCTGCCCCGCGCCGCGCCGCGGCGGCGCCCACATGGAATCGACTCACGGGCCCGCCTCCTCACCGCCCTTCGCTGCCAGCCCTTCCCGGGCCCACACCGCCCCCTGGCGGCCGAGCGGAGCCACTGTACGCCGGCGTCCTCGAGCCCACCGCCCTCCTCCCGCCTGGGAACCGATCACGGGAACACCTGCCTTGCGGCTGCAGCCTTTCTTTCCTCCTCCCCTCCCTTGATCCCTTCCCTTTCATTCCTTGAAAATATTTAATGTAATTTACAGGCCGGGCGTAGCGGCTCACGCCTGTAATCCCAGCACTTTGGGAGGCCGAGGTGGGCGGATCACTAGGTCAGGAGTTCGACACCAGCCTGACTAACATGGTGAAACCCCGTCTCTATTAAAAATACAAAAATTAGCCGGGCGGCGTGCTGGCGCGTGCCTGTAATCACAACTACAGTGGGTTGCGGCAGGAGAATCGCTTGAACCCGGGAGGCAGAGGCTGCAATGAGCCGAGATTGTGCCACTGTACTCCAGCCTGGGCAACTCTGTCTCAAAAAAAAAAAGTAATATACATACAGATAAATGCCCAGATTTTAGGCGTGCGGCTTGATGAGTTTTAACAAACCCTGTCGGCCAGCATGGTGGCTCACGCCTGTAATCCCAGAATTTTGGGAGGCCAAGACGGGTGGATCACTTGGGCTTAGGAGTTCGAGACCAGCTTGGCCAACATGACGAAACCTTGTCTCTACTAAAAATACAAAAATTAGCTGGGCATCGTGGCACATACCTGTAGTCCCAGCTACTTGGGAGGCAGGGGCAGGAGAAATGCTTGAACCGTACAGGTAGCGGTTACAAGCTTTCCTCCTACCTCTGCCTATCAAAGGGATTACAGGTATGTACCACCCCCCCAGTACAGATTTTGTTTTCTTTTGGGTAAATATCTAGAAATGAAATTGTTGGATCACAGTGTAGATGTATGTTTATGCATTTCTTTCTTTCTTTCTTTTTTTTTTGAGACAGAGTTTCACTCTTGTTGTCTAGGCTGGAGTGCAATGGCATGATCTTGGCTCACCGAAACCTGTGCCTCCCGGGTTCAAGTGATTCTCCTGCCCCAGCCTCTCAAGTAGCTGGGATTACAGACATGCGCCACCATGACCGGCTAATTTTGTATTTTCAGTTTCTTCATGTTGGTCAGGCTGGTCTCAAACTCCTGACCTCAGGTGATCCACCTGCCTCGGCCTCCCAAAGTGCTGGGATCACAGGCATGAGCCACCACACTCTGCCTATGCATTTATTTCTAATAAAAAATAAACCTCAGAGACAAAGTAGGGGCTACAGGTATTCATTTATCAATGTAGCACTTATATGCCAGCAACGTCAAACTGTTTCTGAATTCATGGAGCAGTTTTATTTGGAATGTCCCAACCATAACTGTACTGTCCTGTGCATTCATTTATCGAATGCAGAAGCTAGGGGTGTGAGTCCAGAGGGGAGCGTCAGTGGAGAAGGGAAACACACACTCGGTGGAGAAGGGGAAGGGGACAGATACATGGCAGTGTTGAAAGAGGTGTGATGGAGGAGATGGCCCTGGCTGACAAGAAGGGAGTGAGCCATCTGGGTTCCTCAGGAAAGCTTTCTTAGAGGAGTTAAGGCTTGAATTGAGGCTTTGAATAGAATTGAGATGAGTGGGTGTTTGTTTGGCATATGGGGCTGTAGAGAAAGCCATGTCGGGGACCCGAGTGCAAGGTGGGGGTGGGGTTGGAACAAAGGAATGGGGCCCTGTCATTGGAATTTAGGCATTTTCTGCCATTGGGCACTAGATGGCAGGAGAACTCTAGTTTGAGGGCAGCAGGGAGTTTGCTTCAACCCAAGGTTCTTTGAAGAAAGTGGTGTTCTGACCAGGCACGGTGGCTCACACCTGTAATCCTAGCACTTTGTTAGGCTGAGGCAGGAGGATCACCTGAGGACAGGAGTTTGAGAAGAGCCTGGCCAACATGGTGAAATCCCATGTTAACTAAAAATACAAAAATCTGCCGGGCATGGTGGCAGGTGCTTGTAATCCCAGCTACTCAGGAGGCTGAGACAGAATTGCTCGAACCTGGGAGGCAGAGGTTGCCGTGAGCTGAGATCGTGCCACTGTACTCCAACCTGGGCGACAGAGCAAGACTCCATCTCAAAAAAAGAAAGAAAGAAAGGAAGGAAGAAGAAAGGAGGGAAGGAAGCAGGAAGGCAGTTAAGCGAACAGGCAAGGCAAGCAAGCTGTGTCCTTCCAGCGCCAGGCCCTCTCTAGTGTAAGTGTGAGTATCTACCCCTAAATCACAGTTCAGAGTCTTGAGACAGCCTCCACTTCAAGCTCGACTACAGGTGGCTTCCAGCAGTAGCTGGAATCAGGGTGGCGCCAACAATTTTTTTTTTTTTTTTGAGACGGCGTTGCGCTCTCGTTACCCAGTCTGGAGTGCAATGGCACGATCTCGGCTCACCGCAACCTCCGCCTCCTGGTTTCAAGCAATTCTCCTGCCTCAGCCTCCCGAGTAGCTGGGACTAGAGGCGTGCGCCACCATGCCCAGCTAATTTTTGTATTTTTAGTAGAGACGGGGTTTCACTATGCTAACCAAGATGATCTTGATCTGTTGACCTCGTTATCCACCCGCCTCGGCCTCCCAAAGTGCTGGGATTATAGGTGTGAGCCACCGCGCCCGGCCGGCGCCAACCATTTTAAGTGCCTTCCACAGGATCATCTCATTTACTTTCCGTAACAAGGCATCCTATGAGGTGGGCACTTTGCTATCCTCTTTTTTTTTTTTTTTTTTTGAGACGGAGTTTCGCTCCTGTTACCCAGGCTGGAGTGCAATGGCACGATCTCGGCTCACCGCAACCTCCGCCTCCTGGGTTCAGGCAGTTCTCCTGCCTCAGCCTCCCGAGTAGCTGGGATTACAGGCGTGCGCCACCATGCCCAGCTAATTTTTTGTATTTTTAGTAGAGACGGGGTTTCATCATGTTGACCAGGATGGTCTTGATCTCTTGACCTCGTGATCCACCCGCCTCGGCCTCCCAAAGTGCTGGGATTACAGGCTTGAGCCACCGCGCCCGGCCTGCTATCCTCTTTTCTTTCACTCAGGGCAGAAAACTGAGGCCTAGGGAGATGAAACCACTTGGCAGAGATTGCACATTTATAAACTGGTGGTGCTAGAATTACAAGCCTGATAGGCTGACTCCAGACTAGAAAAAGTAGGAAATCTCTATTGTGACTGACTTAATGTTTATACTTATGTCCCATATTCCACAGAAAGTTCTTTCTTTCTTTCTTCTTTATAGCACAATCTGAAACTACTCACTTTCCCCTCTTATTCTTAAAATGCCAGGCGGAACCTCTCCACAGCTCCTACTTATAGGAGCCAAGTTAATCAGGCTAAAATGAGTTTAAAAATCCTTGAGTAATGCGGCCTTGTTGGTATACACAAATAGAATGATACTTTTAGTATTTATGAAAAATGATTCTTGGCTGGGGCGATGGCTCACATCTATAATCCCAGCACATTGGGAGGCCAGGTAGGCAGATCACTTGAGGCCGGGAGTTTGAGAGCAGCATGGCCACCACAGTGAAATCCCCATCTCTACTAAAAATATAAAAACATTAGCTGGGCATGGTGGCAAAACACCTGCAATCCCAGCTACTCAGGAGTTGAGGTGGGAGAATCACTTGAACTCAGGAGGTGGAGGTTTCAGTGAGCTAAGATGGTGCCACTGCACTCCAGCCTGGGTGAAAGAGTGAGACTCTGCCTAAAAAAAAAGAAAAACAAAAATGATTCCTGACTTCCAGTTAGTTGGCTGTGGAAACCAGATGGGAGTTATGGTGGAAGCAGAGTTAATCTCACGTTAGGCACCCTGGTGCTTTGCGGGTGAAAACGAGGTTTCAGCAATATCTGGCTCAAGCCTGGGATGACTCGCTGGAAACCAATCACAGCTCTTTCAGGATCCTGGGTAGTCAGTTCTGTCATCTTGATTCCTTTCCCACCTCTCCTGCATGCCATCCAGTGAACTGAGGCCCAGCAGTGGCAGAAGCACTCCTAGCCTCTCTGTCAGAGACAAACAGTGGCACAAGATGGACCAGGGCTCTTTTCCATTTGCTCATGTTCAGGATGTGGGTGAGATAAACGCAGGGCAGGAGGCCGGGGATGAGGGGAGGAAGTGAATTTTGCTAATTGCTGCTACTTTTTCTAACCCTCAGGTTAGCTATGGCCAATCTTGGTTGAAGACTTTCAGATAAACTTTTCTTTTCTTTTCTTTCTTTCTTTTTTTTTTTTGAGACGAAGTCTTGCTCTGTCGCCCAGATGGCTGGGAGTGCAATGGTATAATCTCAGCTCACTGCAACCTCCACCTCCTGGGTTCAAGCAATTTTCTGCCTCAGCCTCCTGAGTAGCTGAGATTACAGGTGCCCACCATGACGCCTGGCTAATATTTGTACTTTTAGTAGAGATGGGGTTTCACCATGTTGGCCAGGCTGGCCTTGAACTCCTGACCTCGTGATCCACCTGCCTCAGCCTCCCAAAGTGCTGAGATTACAGGCCTGAGCCACCACACCCGGCCTCCAGATAAACTTTTACAAATTAAACTGATAATTTAGAAAGCAATTCTCATGCTATCACTTTTTTTTTTTTTAAATTAATGCCAACAAGAATGAGCTTGAAGTGTTATCACCCTCTAGTCATGATACTCCTTGGTCAATTATGATGACTTGCTGCGGAAAAGAAAACTCTCAAAGAACACTGTCTTCTGCAGAATGAAGAATCAGTCGACTTTTTGGAAGTCACAAGTACTTTTAAAAAATATATTCAATTGCTAGCCAGGCATGATGGCTCATGCCTGTAATTCCAGCACTTTGGGAGGCTGAGGCAGGTGGATCATTTGAATCCAGGAGTTCAAGACCAGCCTAGCCAACATGGTGAAACCCTGTCTCTACTAAAAATACAACAATTAGCTGGGGGTGGTGGCAATTGCCTGTAATACCAGCTACTCAGGAGGTTGAGACATGAGAATCACTTGAACTCAGAAGGCATCATAATCGACCAAGACATGAGAATCACTTGAACCCAGGAAGTTGCAGAGAGCTGAGATCATGCCACTGCACTCCAGCCTGTGTGACAGAGACCCTGTCTCAGGTTAAAAATATATATACATATATATATATACACACACACATACACAATTGCTTCAGAGCTCTCTGCCAAAAAAACACATATATATTCAAAACTTTGGTTGAACGATTATTTTATATATTATATTATTAACTATTAAAGTAAAGTAAATGTTTTATGATTATAAATATTTAATTATGTAAATATCTCTTGAATCTATTCACATTTCTCTAGTTTACTGTTATCACCCTAAAGCCACTATTATCATTGCTTGGCCTACTACAGTTGATCCTGTTTAAATCTTCCTGTTGTGGCTGGGTGGTGGCTCATGTCTGTAATTCCAGAACTTTGGGAGGCCAAGGTAGATGGATCACTTGAAGCCAGGAGTTTGAGACTGGCCTGGTTAACATGGCATAACCCTGCTCTACCAAAAATGCAAAAATTAGCAGGGTACAGTGGGGCGGGCCTGTAATCTCAGCTACTCAGGAGGCTGAGGCAGGAGAATTGCTTAAACCTGGGAGATGGAGGTTGCAGTGAGCCACGATCTCACCACTGCACTCCAGCCTTGGAGACACAGCAAGATTCTGTCTCAAAAAAAAAAAAAAAAAAAAGAATCTATTGCATGATCTTCTACTTACTGGTTTGTTAAATATATTTATATAGTCTCGTAATGGGCTCTTTGTCAGTTATGCGTGTTACAACATTTTCTCCTACTTCATGGACTTTTCACTTTTTAAACAGTATCTATTAATGAAAAAAGTCCTTAATTTAAATGTAGTCCTATTTATATTTTTTCCCTTTATGGTTAATTCTTTTTGTGTTTTGTTTTAAAAAATCCTTCTGGCTGGGCAAGACGGCTCATGCCTGCAATCCTAGCACTTTGGAAGGCTGAGGAGGGAGGATCCCTTGAGGTTAGGAGTTTGAGACCAACCTGGGCAATATAGGGAGATCTGGCCTCAATCAAAAATAAAAAAATTAGCCAGGCATGGTGGTGCATACCTGTAGTCTCAGCTACTCGGGAGGCTGAGGTGGGAGGATTGCTTGAGCCTGGGAGATGGAGGCTCAGTGAGTTGTGATTGTGCTCCAGCACTCCAGCCTGGGTGACAAAGTGAGACCCTGTCTCAAAAAAATTATTAAGTCCAAGATTTAAAAGTATTCTTGAGATGTTAAAAAATTATATTTATTTGTTT